GCTGGTCTCTAGTTACAATATCCTTTTTATATTTACTAAAGCAATATTCTATAACGTTTATAGTCCCGCCTGCTTATATGCTCTTTATTATATATTTTAGTATCCCCTATTTATAGAAACTAAATTAGATCCGTCTAGTTATATAGCCTCGCTAGGAAAAGTTTAAGGGGATCTGCCTAATATATTAAGAGGTTAATCTATATAAATTATAATAGAGGTATTAAGCTATCCTAACTTTCTAAGAAGCTCTCGATACTTAGAATAATACTCTCTATATGAATTCTTATCTTATCTATTATCTAGCTCTTAATTATCTAGTGTACTACTTTATCTAGTATCTTATAAAGTTTTAGTATCTCCGGATACTTATTAGAGATATAGTATACTAATGCATTAAATATACTATCTATAAACTTAGTATTATTACTACTTACTTATTAGTTACTACTCTCTATTTAGACTAGGAATTACTTATATATACCCTATAGCCTCTAGGCTACTAAAGAAGAGAATACCGAAACCTATATAGCTTAATAGAGTTATTAGCTGCTTTCCAAGATATTTTTATTTATATAAAAGATTCCTCTATTTCTACTTCTTAGTAGGCTTAATTAGGTCCTAATTATTAATATATAGCTTCTCTAAGAGGTAGTTTATAGTATATACTATATCTTAAACACCTCGCTTCCTCTTAACCTCTGGGTCCTTAACTCCTTACTTTACTTCCTCTAAGAAACGAAGGTAGAACTAGTACTATAGGACTCTATAGAACAAGAAGCGTATATAATCTATAACTAATCCTTTATTTATAATAATAAAATATTGTAATACCTTTATAAAATAATTAGTAACTAAATTACTACTTATTAGTATTAAGAGGCTTGATTTATACTATATACCTCTCTAGAGGAGTAGTTTATCCATTAAGAAAGGGACCACGTTATCCTATACTAGGGTGTCTCCGGTTTTAATAATAATAATTAGTTTATTTAGGCTTATGATCGTACTAAATAGTAAGGTTAGATAGCCGAACGCTTACGTAAATAGGGAGCGGTAGCTTTCAAGTAAGGTATCTATCCGTTAAGCTAAGTTAGTAGAGTAAGCTAATTATCTATCGAAGATGTTAGTTTATTACTTTCCTCATTAACTAGTCTCTGGTCAGGATAAGCTTCCCTAGCGGGACCTGAATAGGAGGGTAAGAGTGAGCCCTGAGTGATTACTAGCGAAGTTAAGGTAATAAGAGAACCAGGAGCTAAAGGGATTAGAGGTATCGCTAGGCGAGAGTTGAATGGCTCGCGAGTTATATTCACATGCCTAGGAACTCCTAATCTCGTAGGCAGCCTGCTATTATAAGCGCTTAAATCCTCATTTACCTCGATAGCGTGACATGTCTAGTGATTGCTCATGTCTGGAATGTCTCTTCTACCTTACGACTGAGATCCAAAGCCTATAGTTCAAAGCGGGGGATGTTGCAAAGGGGCTAGCTTATACGTCTCCTCATCTGCAATGACCGTACCTGGAGCAACTTCCTCTCTCAAATCGGGGATCTGGCCTATAGATTTTAGAAGATCCTAGCACAGGGGGGGGGGGGGAAGAGGGAAGTTAACCTAGCTAAGATATCACATTATTACTCATCTTTGAAAGTCTATAGGGTTGGATTTTCGCCGCAACGGTTTCTATATCTACTTAATTAAGTCGAGTAAAAGTGTTAAGAACTATATAAATAGCCGCGATGAACTATAGAACTACTTAGCTATAGGGAGTGTACCGGGAAGTATTATGCGCTACCTTAGGTTATATGGCAACGTTCTAAGCTTAGTTAGTAGAGAGGGATATAGAGGGCTATAGAGAAAGTTAGGCGGCTTTGTTCTGTTGAGTAATATACCGGTGCGATATGCTACCTCTAGTTTTGCAAGAAGATACATATTTGGGCTGAGAGAAATGGCCACGAATAGAGAAGTAGAGAGTGATCTCCTGAACGGGCCGTTCGAGAGATTATTAAACACGACAACCCCACAGCGAAGGGAGAGACTAGGATCAACTCTAACCATAGCCCCCATTTATCAGCAAAGTATTGGAAATATCACGGAGCCCGATCTAGCTCCCTTTCCCACCGCTATAGTTAGAATTAGATGAGGAACCAAATCGGATCCCGGGTTCCCATGGGAGCATCTCCGTACAGGAGTTGTGACCAGAGCTAGACAGGGGGTAGAGACAGGGGGCAGAGACATGGGGCAGAGACATGGGGCAGAGACATGGCCTAAACGAGTAGTGTGAATACTATTTGATTAGTTAATGTACTAATACTGCTTATAATTAGATATACGTAAATACTAATATTATTACTGGTTTATATGCTTTATTCCTTAGACTACAAAACTTCTAAGAATCGTACTATAGTAACTTCGAGAATCCAAGTACCGGATAATATTCTCAGGATAACTTTACCTAGATCCTATCGAATCACTTTTATTACGAAGAAGGTTAAGGAGAGAAGCTGTCTAGAAAGCGAAGACTATAAGGCAAAGCTTAAAATCCGCGTCTTTCGAAGAGTAGAGGCTAGATTGCGCTTTCCTAAAGAATTAGAAAAGAGTAACGGTATAGTCACGATAGGAGATTTTCTCTTCAGGAAGCTTATGGTATAGGAGAATACCTTAAAGGGATTGTCTAGAGAAGGAAAGAATAGTAAAGAGACAGTGGATTATAGGGAAGGACAGGAGTAGCTCGAGAGGACGAAGCGTGAGACTATTAAGGCTCTAATATTAATGAGGGATTTATAGTTATAATAATTAAAAGAAGGGGCCAGCTGGCTCCCGTATCCTATATTTATTCGATTGAGTGAATACTATAAACCTTTTAAACGCCTCTCATTATTTGGGTGTATAGACTACCCAGGGGCCTTCACTATCTAAGTAGTCATATAAGTTATATTCTAAAAGTAACACTCGCTATCAGGTCGGGGGGATATAGGGTGGGATTACTGAGATAGTAACCCTCAAGAAAAAGCGGGGGATAACCTCCTCGCTTGCTCGTGATCACCCTGGTGGATATGGAGCATAAATGTTAAAGAGGGTTAAATAGAAAGAATTACAATTTTGCATCACAGGCGACCCCTGATACCAAGGTGCCGCTAGCGCGTGGCATGCTTCCGTCTTTGCACAGTGATATCCCGAACCGTCGGTTCGAGAGATCAGAACACGGCCTCTGAGCAACCGCAGGCAGGATGCACCTTCCATGCATAATTTTGAAAGGAAAAGTGATCTCAAGAGCATAGCTAGTACTAAATTTATCGAATGAGTTGGGTTCTACTTTGGCTCCCAGCTCGATTCCTATAATTAGAATGACACAGGGGAGCTAAATTGGACTCCCGTAATGGAGGTAACCCGTCCATCCAAGTATCGCCCTGACGCTCTCCTACGCGATTCTGGAGACGCTGCTTGTGCCGCAGAGTCATTTAATAGATCTTGCGCCCGGGCGGGTCTCATTAGGCGGCGCTCCGCTGACAGTTTCTACTCGAGAGCGACACGCAGAAATTCATACGTAGCAGATCGATTTTTCTTGGCGGAGGTTTGTTCCGTGCCAAATATTGCGTATGATCACGTGCTTACGTGACTCTAATTCCTAGCTAAACCAAATGCCACAAGGGTAGCTTTAGCTGGATTAAGGTCTTAATAAACTCCTAATAGTATATACCCAAAGAAGGAAGTCGTAAGATAGAAAAGATTAGTAAGGAAAAACTCTCAGGGGCCAGAGGGCGACCTCATAGACCTTTATTACGTAATTCTTAAACCGCTTAATATTATTGAGAACTAGTCCCTAAGCCTTATAGATAGGGTAGTAGTAAATGATCCTCATATCCGTAGATAGATAGTATAAGTAAATATCCTCGACATAGTCTTATATATACGAAACGCGGTTAAAGGTACGCATTTATTACTTATATAAGAGCTACTTATTTCCGATATAAATAATATATTAGGTCTTCTTATAGACGATAGGAAATTTATTAACTAGTTAGGAGGGCTTAGGAGTAGGAGATTTCTCCTTAACTAGGTCTTTAGAGGCTAGGACTAGCTATAGCTTATAAGTACGAGTTAGAAGCTCTTATTAGGAGGCGAGTATAATAAAAAGATTAATAGCAGAGACCTTTTAAGAGATAATACCCTCGGGGCTTAAGTCTCGAGAAAAATCGTAAAGAATCTACTATAGTTATATTCATTCTGCGAGCTAGTACTTAATAACAGGCTTATTAACGTCCTCCTCCTCTTCTATAGCTACCTTATTCTATTATTTATTTAGTTACTTCTTTATTATCTTATTATGGATTTAGAAGAAGTAATCTTTCTTATATACCTCTATAATCTCGTCTTCTAAACTCTTCTTTATATTCTTAAACTACTTATAGAGATCCTCATATTCCTTTATAACCTTCTTTAGGGCTTGCTTAATAAACTTATACTCTTATTTAATCTTAGTATATAGCTCTTTTACTTAGTACTTAAGGTTAATGATATTAGGATCTACTATAAAGAGGGGCTTTATAATCTCTTTAGGGACCTCCTTTAGAGTACTAGGGTTATACTAAATACTTATATATATAAAGGCCCGGGTTAGTCCATTATTAGAGATATCTTCCTTAAGGTAGGCATCCTATATATTAAACCTAATAAATTCATCTTAGTAGGCTATACTAAAGACTCTAGTATTAGGACTATACCTTAGGACCTAATTATATATAGAATTAGAGGTAGTACCTAGAGATAGCTATTAGCCTAGAGTAATAGAATAAGATTAAATAAGATATATACTATTAATTATATTTACTATACCTTAGCGGAAATAATAGCTTATTAGCCTATCTTCTAAGCTAGAGTCTCTCCTAAGGTAACTAATATAGAAATATAGGTTAAGTAAAGTATTACTTTAAACTTCGACTTTACCTAGTTATTCCTAGTTTAGATAAACCTATAAAAGACTAGCTACTTAAGCTATTTCAGCTTCTAGTATACCTTTATTACCTTTATATTTATACTCCCTAAGTTAGTAGTAAAGAAGGGCTTAGCAGATATATAGCTATTAACGAGGATTGTATTATTACGGATTATATAGGCTAAGATATAAGAGATTAGGTAAAGGATAGAGAGAGGGTTCTCTTAAAATAGGAAAGTCGTACTAAGAGGGGAGTTAGCTAGGGTTTAGGACCTAAGGAGAAGTAATATATAGTTTAGGCTTATTATTAACTCCCTTATAGTACTTTAGGGAGACCTCTATTACGAGAAGGTCTCTCTCTCCCTACTTTAGATTCTGTATTATCTAGAGGCAGATATCCTTATAATAGAGTACTTTATACTTCTATACTACTTCTCTAAACTCACCTAGCTTAGTGGTATTATAAGTCTGCTATAGTAGCTCTCCTAGCTTATTAACCTAGATAGTAGAGTAGTCGTTAATATTATTAGTTATAGTAATATCTCTCTCTTATATACTATAACCACTATTATAGCTAGTATCCTTATTAATACCTTTATTAAAGGTAGTAGTAGTAGTATTATTATTAGAGTTAGAGTTAAAGAGTTTATTAATATTAAACTTAGGGCTATTACTAGTATTACTCTCATTATTATAATCTTCCTCTATTATATCCTAAGGGTATTTACCTTAGTTAATATCTTCTACTTTACTAAATAAATCCTAACTAGCTTTTCCCTTTAATACGTAAATAAACTCTACTAAGCGGCTGCCTATATAGGCTTAGAATAGTATTATTATAGTAATATCGTATTAGTTATCCTTAGTAGGGAAGATAGACTCGTTATAAGCCTAGTAGTAGGTTAGTAGGAGAAGTAGGTCATCTAGTCTAGCTACTAGCTTAGGTTTAGATATTATATTAAGATTGAACTTAACCTTTAGCTTAGTATTAATATACTTAGGATTATAAGGTTAGCGGGTATAATGAGAATAGAAAAAGGGTAATATACCTTAATAACCTCGAGTAAATTATTTATATTTATTATATAGATTAACTTAATAGTAGAGTATCTTAAACTCCTACTAGTACTAGTTAATAGTTTTCCTCTTCCTCTCCTTTTACCTCTTTACTAAATAAGTCTTATAGATCTAGTAGAGGAATAATATTATCCTCTCCTTATTATAATTCTGCTTAAGAATAGCTGTATATTACGGGCTAGTATATTAATAGTTATAATATCTGCCTTTTATTAGCTATATCTAATTATATTATAAAGGCTTAAATACTATAGTAAGTATACCTAGTAAATTTCCGTCTAATATAGTAAATACTAGCCCTAGTATCCTTAGTATCTACCGGCTATAAGAACTATTTATTATTTAAATCTATCTCTATATACTAATAACCTTCCCTATTAAGTACCTTTTTCTCTCTCTCCTTTAGTACCTAGTTAGTATTAGTACGTTTTTTGAGGATATTCTAGAGGGCTTTAAGAGTATACTCTGCTAGTACTTAGATTATAGGAGCTATAATCCCGTGCGGGGTACTACGAGAGCGGATATAGGTAGCGGGTTATAATCGAGAGAATTAAACCTAAGAGCTATTAATAATAGAAGGACGCCTACTACTAAGAGCGAGATAACGAGAGAGGGGAGAGCTTTCGAAGATGGATATAGAAGTTATAGAGTAGTAATAGTATAAGATAGGGGTAGTAGCGTTATTAAATAAGGATTATACTTAATATTATAGGTAATTAATCGTGGCTTTTACTTATCTATATTATTAGTACTATTTTAACCCCTTAGCTGCTTTAATTATAGGGTAATGAGTCGTGAGAAAGCGGAGATACCTATTATAGTATTAATATAGCCTAATAAGACGATGGTTAGTTGAGTTTATGAGTCGAGGGTTGTGCGAAGAATTAAAGTATAGAGGGTAATGGAGGTATGGAGGGCGGCCAGGAGAATATGCTACGAGGGTGCCTCGTAGAGGAGGGGATCGAATGTCGAGGTAGGGAGAACGCCGGAACTATTAAGAGTTAGAAGACGATAATAGTTAAAGGAGGATGAGTAAAAGAACCGAGTTTGCATAGTAGTAGTGGAGATGGGGAGGTTATCTGAGAGATAGTAGACTTCGAGAGTCTTCGTATACGAGGGATCGTAGCTAAGGCCACGGGACTCGTTGAGTTCGAATCCTCTGAGAGGGAGAAAGTAAAGAGGGAATAGTGTGGAAAAGAAGCGTTTAAAGGAGGTGTAATGGTTACTGAAGATCGAGGGTAGGTGGAAACTGCGAGAACTTATATAGCCGGGAGCGGCCTGGAGGCAGAGATGGACATGGCCTGCTATGGCTGATGGGGAGCTGTTTCTGGCTCCTGGACTAAGGGACTGGGATGGTTAGGATAATTGAAGATGGATCTAGCAATTTTGGGAGGACGCGGTTATCGTCGCACTAACCGATGCCCCGCACCAAAACACGCCCCGCATCAAAAACACGCGAATTCGCATTTCGCCCGAAACTTCAATAATTAATTACTCCACAACCACTTATCCAAATAGAATAATATTAAATCACAAGGTAGAATCAATTAAGCTCTTGAACTTGTACAATTCAGCTTTTTTATCTAAAGCGTTATAGTAGCGTAATTATACACGTACTCGATTTCGCCTGTGCTACCCCCAATATGACTACCTCACTGATTTGTGTAATTACCTCCTGCTGTGCTACTACCTTTACAGGACGTCTAGCCTTACTAGGTACCTTTCGCCTAGTTAACACCACTGGAGCAGCTTTTTTAGCCTTTAGAGCAGTAGAAACTAGCTGCTTCTTTAGTGCTCTCTTAGCGGCCAGCTCCACCTCCCCTACTAATTACTTCTAAACAGCCTTAGCCTCCTTATCTGCCGCTCTTTTTGCCTTCTCCTGTTTATTTCTAAGGGCATTCGCGGCCCTTTAGATCTTTCTTTCCAATTTAGCTTCCTCCTCTACGATTCTCAACCTCTCCTTCTCTTCTTAATACTCCCTAGCCTTAACCACCTTCCCAGGAGAGTAGCAATCGATCAGACCCTTATTCGCCTTACCAGCAAGATTCAAACGAACGCCCTATCGACCCTTCTTCTTTTAAAGCTCAATTGCTTTATATAAACCTCGATTTTCGTATTCTAGAACCGAGACTCGTACGGCGAGGTGAAGTATAGTTGAGAAAATCGTCTTAACCTTCTCAATTATAGGTTCTTTATCGTATACTTAATAAAATCAACGAATCGATTTCGCAGATCTCGGGGGACGTAATCTACCTGCCTTTTCAGGTAATACATATATAGGGCGAGTAATAGTCTTAATAATAAGACTCCCATTAATCGGCTATATCCCTGATTTGCAAAATACCGATTAGATATTCTTTTCAGTAAACGCCTTATCCTAAGACCTCTTAAACTTTGGCCAAAAGAAGCTTTTACTCATTAAAACATACCCGCCCGATTCGTTTATCATTTTATCAAGCTCCCAAGAGTATATAGTCAATAATAGTTGAAAGAGTCCTATATTAAGGGGCTAAAGCCAGTAAGTTGTATATAGAGGTAAAATCAATAAAATTATACCATATTAATCAGCCTAATCAATAAACGCCATATTTACGTGACTTAAGTACCCATTAACAATAAGAAGACGTTTTTGAGTCGTACGTAATAGTTTAGTATATCGTTCAAAGACATTCTAAAGCCAAGATAACCCAATCGTATTATTTAACCATCCATTCGGCGAAACCGTAAAATGAGCCTTTGAATCAGTCGTAACTTCATTAACCCACGTACTTATAAGGTCTCCTGACTCGCCCTTATATACTAAAAGCGGTAGTATCCATTTCCCGATCGCAGATATACAAGCTAAGAGACTAATAAACTCGCGATTTCCATCCTACTTTACCTTAGTAATTCGACCTAATTCCAGAGCAGCTCTAGTCATAATTCTCTTCAAAGAACGCCCAAATCCCATTAAGAACCCCTTCTCGTCGAAGTTATATATGTTTTCGGGCGTAATTCGATATTTAGTAATCACTAAAGCGAGCTAGTAAAGCAGACACACGTCAGCAGATGCTCAAGCAGTACATTCGCGAAATAATAAAAAATCAAGAAACAAACCATACTAAAAAATAATTGGAACATAGGAGCGTACTCAGAGCTAGCACGTAGATTATCGATATTCCGTAAATAAAGACTCTTTAGCCTAATCGAATAACGCTTCACGAACTAGCTAACCCAGTTCTTTCCAAGCAGCCCCCCCCTAATCTCCTCTATAAGGTTTCTGACAATATGACTAGTCGGTAGTATTCCTCGATCAATAAGAGTATTAATTCGATGAATAAGCACCTCCTCTTACTCAATAGTAAGGCATTAGTACCAGAATGAATTCGCTTCCTTCTTTAACTTCGTAAGGCCACGGATTCGTCTAGAGACAGCGCTACGGTCACACTTGAACTCCCTAGCTATATTAGAATAATAAGTAAACTCCCCTCTTTGAATTACGGCTACTGCCTGGTCGATACGACTTGATTTGACGAATTTATCGCGCATCTTAGTAGTAGTATTAGTCGTGTTTTAAGCGTGTTTTGGTGCGGGACTTCGGTTAAGCGAACCGAGGCACGTGCGCTGTGGGCAGTGTTTAGCGAGCGGTCGAGGCTGCGTAAAACAGCGATAAAACCAGCCGAATTCAGCGGCCCAAACCGCAGTACTCAGATATATTATATAATTTTAAAAACTAATAATATTAATTCGGATTATTTTTAATTATATAAAAATTAATTAAAATAAGAATATTATTTATAAATCTATTAGAAATATAAATAATCTTAATATTTTTTAAGAAATATAAATTAGTATTTCTTTATAACTTATTCTTAATCTAAACTAGCTAATTATTAAAAATAATATAATTTTTAATAAAGAAAATTAGATTTGAGAGCTTAATAATTCTAGTATTTTTAAAAGAAATATAAAATATAAGAAATCTTAAATAGAAATAAATAAAAAATAGTTCGGAATTCTTTAGAAAGAAATTCGAAATAGTTAGAGCTATAGAAATAATAAAAGTAAATAAAATAAAAATAGTTAAAGCTATTATAACCCGATTTATTATAGCTATATAATATTTAATATTATTCTCGAATTTAATATTATAAAGCTTAATATTTTCGAAAATAGTTTTATTATAATTATAGATATTTTTATATAAAAGAGTTTTATAAATGTTTTTCTAATAGCTTTTTATAATAATATTAATATTTGAATTTCTTGGCCTATTTATATAACTTTCTGGTAATAATATAGTTATTAATTTCTAAAAGCTTTAAAATAAAAATAAAAAATTCTATTTTTATAAATTTATTTATAAATTCTCTAGAAATACTAATAAGATATTTAATTCGAAAAAGCTACTAATAAGATAATCTAAACTAGTAGAAGCTTTAGAAGCTTTAATAGAAATTAATATAATTTCTAATTATATAATATTCTAGAAAATTAATTTATTATATATTTTTTCTATTATATTTTCTTTAATAATCTTATTATTATATTCTACTGCTTTACTAGTAAATTTAGTATTACATAACCATAATAATGCATACGGCTAGCTAGTATTTAGAATACTAAGGCTCTTATACTCAGAGCTTCCTTCCTTAGTTTAGAATTCTCGGATTAAGAGCCACTCTACCTGCTTTCCAAGCCCAGAGCCCGGTTTCGTAATATTATTCTAAACTTATTCTTATTCCTGTAAAGGAAGTAAAACCACTCTTATATCTTATATACAAGTGTGATTTTACGGCAATTTAATAATAGTACTATTAATATATACGGCTACAGAATTATATATTTACTAGAGAGATTAAGAGCTTATTAGGCTCTCTCTTACTTCAAGTTTTTGCGATTTCCCCTTCTCTTTTTTCCGAAATACTATAATACTATAGATTAATCTTTATAGATCCAGATTACAAATGCAATTGCCGAGCTATAAGCAGAGGTTTAATATTAAGCTGAGGTTATTTAGTAATAGAGTAATAGCCTCCTCCTCTTATAAGCTCGCCTTTATATAAAGCCGAAATCCTCTCTCTTATATCCCGAAAAATTTGATATCCAGATCTATAAGTTTGATATCTGGCTCCCCTTAATTAAGGCCAAGCTACAAGTTAATAGCAAGGCTATTAGTAATACTACTACTCAATTCTACTATATTTACCTTAATCTCGAATTATATATTCAAGCGATAGTTCTTCCTTAGCTTTTCCAGGCTAAAGACAATTAAACCTGGTCCTACCTCTCGATTCTCGACTAACTCTCTCGCATTTACTCAAATCCGAATAAGGTATAGGAAGCAGAGGACAAGCTATACTCTCTCAAGCAAGGCACTGATTCGCTTTATACGTTTATTACTAAGTTTGAATGTATTCTATATGAGATATATAGGCAGAACTGAAACGATATTAATAAGATTATAGCTTTCCGTTAAGGACTTAATACTATAATTAAGAATAGACTAGTATAGTAATTGAACCTCCCTTAAACCTATACCAAGTTTATCGAGACGGTATAATAGCTAGCTGGATACTCTAGTATATACGAATACCAAAGCTCTGAGAAGAAGCCTTACTATTTATATAATACTAGACGATGTCTGTGGGGCGAAGAATCCGCATTTCTACCTGCTACCTATGATGGGAGATTCTATCGGACCATCTACCGAGGAATGTGCTGCGACTCTTGGTCCCTGCCTCAAGTTTGGCGACCAACATTTCTGGTTGGCCAATCTCCATGTGTTTATCAAACTGAAAAGGGGGGAAACAAATGCTCAACAACACGTCCTTCATCCAGGGTTGCTGGACAAACATGCATGCGGGCACCTGACTGGAAAGGGTCATGTGCGATTTGGAACGTTATATGCTTTCTCGGCGAACGATCTGACTACCACGCGGCCTTCATCACACCCTTTCTGGAAAATGTTTCCGGAAATCCCCCAAGTAGTTACCGACTGGGTGCTGATCGACGATTATGGGCACATAGAAGAGAACGAAATAGGGGATCAGGAGCCGTTTCTGAATACTCTTCGAATGCCCGGGCCTGGAAGAGGTGACCCATATGTCACTGTCGTAAATCACAGCCCAGTGTTACCAGAGGCCAAGGTTCATACAACTGGCCGAACAAGTGGCCGTCGATCTGGCCAGATCTGCGAAATACCAGCATATCTCGATGCAGATGCCTCGAGGAGATCAACCAAGCCTACGCGAGAATGGTACGTCGAGCAGCCTAGTTGGATAACAGTTTCCGAGGACAGTTAGCTCGAAAGTGGAATCGGAGTCCCAGGAGATTCAGGTGCTCCCGTCATCGATTCCGATACCAATTTCCTGTATGGCCAAATATGGGGGCGAAATAAATATTGGGGTCCGGGTCCAAGAGTTGCTTATTTCACGGCGATTTCTGATATCTCAGAGGATATCAAAGAGAAATGTCCTCAGTTGACAAGCACTTTGGAGCTTCCGCAGCGCTGTAATCGAGAAAGATCCCTTGCTTCGGAGCTTTATTGCCCCGAATGCGCTCATCCTGTAGAGAATCCCACACTACATTCAAGCGGAGACGGGTCCGACGAAATGAGTATGATGTCTGTTTCCTCCCCTAGTGAATTCAACAGTCTCTTTGATGATCCCTCGGATATCAACCCACTGGAACACAACTCGACAGATGGAAATCCTCCAGATTTACAGGATTCGGATATGATTTCGTCAGATAGCGATGAGCGTATGAGTACAAACTCCAGGGATGCTCAAGTGTCGTTTTCACCGATGAACCAACAGGCATTTGGCGAAGAGATAGACCAGTCTTATGTCGTACCAAATGACCAATTTGCGCTTGGGATGGACCAATTTCATGACGACTCGGACTACGAATTTACTGTCAATGGCCGCCCACTTTCGATTCTTGAAGACGATAGCGAGGAAGATGATATAGCGCGGTCCTCGGCGTATAAGAAGACACTGCACTATAGCGTTCCATATAACAAGGTTCCCAGCTCCTGGGTCATGGTTCACTCGAAGCCCAAAGCCACTACCAAAAGGCTATCGAAAGTGGCCTCAAAGGCGATGACGCAGCCAAGGAAGGAAACACGCTCGCTACTGCACTCATTTTTGAAGACTACCGAGGTACGTGTAAGGCCAAAGAGGCGTCGTACGCCTGCTAACACGTCTCAGTTCTTCCAAGGCCTCGCTCTTACTTGACAGTGGAATGGTAAAGGATTACCGTCGGCTGGAAAGATCAAGCGCCAAAAATTAGTCTTGTAGTTCTACTTTTGGTGTGAGAAATGAGCCTCAGGCTGTGTAGCGCGACGACTCGAATTCCCTTGATTGCCAGCAGGTGAGGTTGGTTAAAGAGAAAAGTAAAAATCAAGCTGAGCTGATAAGGGGAAATTTAGCCCAGTATCAACGCCGAATTTGTTAAGAGCCTGTTATTTCGACCGTAAGAGAATATGTGTCTCGTAGCTCTGCATTCTACCAAAAGAAATTCGCTAATGTTCAGCCCTTTCGTCAGTTTAGAGTGCGAAGCACACAATTCTATTAATAACGATCCGGTGCCCACCAATACATCTCTTCACAATTCACAAGCAAGATATCACAAATTCATCCTTTTTAAAGCCACGCTGCAGCCGGGCGATGTCAACACTATTACGTTTGGTATCTCTGAGTCTTCTAGTATGCTCTGCCTAGGCCCCCTTACTGTGTGTGCGAATTGCGTTATTTCTAAGGAACTAGAGAATTGGATGTGCTAATTGTATTACCTTTCAAAGATTTGAGGTACAGATAGAGGCCATTGAGCTCTTTGAGGAAGGATTCTAATCATCTGGCTGGAAGATAGTAATGGTGATGGTGATGGAATTAAGACCAAGGGGGCCGCATCACGGATCTCACACACAAACTGGCCAGCAGAGGCCCTGAGACGAGGCACCAATCTCGTCTGGTCGACACCTTATGCCACGCTATGAAATGCTTTTTCGACTGCAAGTTCTATTCAACTACCAACTACTCGGCCTTGGGATTGGCTTTCTATGGTATTGCGGAGAATACGGTCGCTGCTGCCATGTCGTTCGAGATGACATAAAACTTGATTGCCGAATGGGCTCGGCCTTACAAGGGTGTTGGGAGTAAAAATAGTGACTCACTCGGTATTTCCGACAAGCTATGCATGATGGCGGAGGAAGAGAAGGTACTCAAGGAAGTCCAGGCGAAGAAAGCGGAGAGGGACGGCATTATGGCCGAGGTGAAGAAAGAGGGAGCTGAGAGACAAGCGCAGTTGGCCCGTTTAGCTCCTTTCCCCAAGACTCTAAGCAAACTCTCTTCCCCCGAATCAGCAACAAATGCCGATGCCAGTAATCATATCAACGGTAGCTCGGCTGTCTTTCACGATGACGCTTGCAATATGATGTGGCTGGACTCGGAGGGAATGGGAGACGACGGCCCCAACGCTGCCTCCGGCTCTCCGGATCGAAGCAGTGAAGACGGCATCGAGCCCGACTTCAAAGTGGAAGATGAATATGATGTAGTAAAGAGATTACAAGAGATGAGAAGTTACAGATTCAAATGGTATAGTATATAGCTGGGTGGGAAACCAAAGATATCCTCCTTTTGTTTTCACGACTCACATGCGATCAAGTCGGCTATGCTCTTGAAACACGTCCAACACCACAAAAATTAGGCCATTGTGGTCGTTTTATTAAGCTTACGCCTTGTCACCGCAAACAACTCGTGAAATGAGCGACTATAGACTCACATACACGTGATAACCCTTGGGTAGAGCTTCCTAGATATCTTGGATGGGCTGAGTGGTGTGGGGCAAAGGCAATTCGAGGTGCCTTCCAGCTTGAGGGTTATACTAGAGTAAGAAGGAGAAAGCCACCGCTCTCAGAGAAGAATCAGGAACTGCGGCTAAAGTGGAAAGAAGAGCACTTAGACTGGACTAGCGAGAAATGGGATATAATACTTTGGAGCGACGAGAAGTGAGCTCGCCATGGCCCTCATAGGCAACAACCCTGCACGCGTAAGAAAGGGCCTTCAGAGCTATTCCAATTTCCACCCTGACACACCAGTGGCAGAGGAAGATTGGTTGGATGTTCTTTGGCTGTATTTCAGGGAATTACGGCAAAGGAGAGGGTTTATTCTGGGAGAAAGCTGGGGGATCAATTAATACAACGACTTATTATCAATACACTGTACCTGTTATTTTGAAGTACGTGTTCAACCACACAGGACTACACTTCAAGCAAGACTGTGGACCAGGGCACGGATTAAAAGCAAGTCTAAAGTATATTCTAAGCTTGTTAGACCGGGAGGTTCACAGAAATTACACACGGCTCAAGAGAGCTGTGCAGGGGGCTTGGGATAGTTTAACAGATGCTGAGATTAGGGATTCCATCCACACGATGCATGTCAGCTGCGAGGCTATGTTCGCTGCGCATGGCCTATACACAGAATATTAGCATAAATAGCTTTAATTCTATGTATTATGCCTCCTTCTATGAGCTTCTGCAGTCACGATATTGTAAAAGCAGCGTGATGTGGCGATTTCTCGGCCGCTAATGAATTATTACTACCTGTACTTTGTATACCTGTGCGCGCGTATCTCGACCTACCTGCAGCTGAATTGCCCGATGTGGGCTCATCGGAATCAAGAACTTAATCTCCACTGTGGATGCACTCAGGCCTAAAACACATGGGAATACCTGATGCCGCAGCTATGATATGATGTTTAAGTGGTCCCCAGGGGCATAAAATACATATATTGAGATGGCGAAACATACACAATATCCATCATCCAGTATCCATGAAATCCGGCCATGACAAGCTAACATGTTCAAAAGATTGAGGCTGATAGCTATCTGGTGGCTTCAGCTTGACCTTTTTACGGTCCCTCATATATGGTGCCATACTTCCAGCCGTCGAGTCCTCAGGCCGAGCTCTCTTATTTGAGAAGAACATTCCCAGGAAAGCCCAACTGCAAAAACATATACCCCGAACTTTCATCGATGTGGAGGGCTCGCGATCAAAGTTGAAAGATCCGTGACGACGTCTAGTTTCATATCTCAACTCATTACCAAGGTCAACCGGGTGACATGAAATCCATTGAGGGGTGATGGTGTCAGTGAAGTGGGGGTAGTGTTTAAAAAGCGTTTTCTAATCTCATTCCTTTTTTCGCTTCAATTCCCCACTATATTATGTTCTCTTGTTCTCTTGTATTCTTCATGCGTGGAGATGGATCCCGCTATTTAGTGTTCATGTCACGGGTTCTACTTTCTTCTCAGTAAAATGAGTGAAAGTGTTCTGTAGTTTCCCTTCTTCACTATCAAGCAAGGATCTCTGAAGAGCATATATGAAGCGGTAAAATACGAAGGCGGAAAGACTCAATAATTACCGAGAATATATACTGGGTTTAACGAGTGATTGACCACTTTCCTTAAATATTGAGTTTGTGGGATAAGCTCTGCTCTTGAATTGGTTTGCTACACAGCAACTTAAATTACTGTCAATTGTTGTAAGTGACTTGGTACCTGTCACTTCATTCTTGCTGTCAGCATTGTCTGGACCCACAATGCACAGCTTGAGGGAGCAGCTTACAGCTTGTTTCATACATAAGTCTGTAAATACTTACTCTCGTCCTAATTGCAAGTTCAGACAACCTAGGCGTATCTTGTGTAGTACACCTTGGCAAAAGTCAGGTCGACAGTTCATTCCATCCCCTGATTTCTTTGTGGAGGATTATGACATATCCAGGTCTGGCAAATTGTGAGGAGTGAATAAGGACGTACAGTACAGCACAGCAGAGAAAAGAGGAGGGTTACATTGATCTACTGCAAAACTTTTTGAATATACCTTTAAACGTGAGGAACAAATTCAATTACAACCTTTCCTCTCGCCTTCCCGCTTTCCATCCTCGGAACCGCTTCCTCGAACTTCTCAACTGGCCACACGCTATCCAGCGCCGTCACAAATCCACCAGCGTCAATCAAGCTTCCCACCTTTCCCGCATGTTCTCCCGACGGCTCTTGGATAAAGAACAAGTTCTTGACATCCCGAGTCGGAAGATCTGCAGGTTTCATTCCCTCCGGTGGCTGGAAAATGCTGATCAAAGTCCCTCCTTCTTTCACAACCCACCAGGCGTCCGCCAAAGCTTGCCAACCAATGCAGTCGATCACCACGTCAACTTGTCTGCCAGCTTCAGCTTCTACCCACTTCTTCACATCGGCAGTTCTGTAATCCAACACCTCTGAGGCGCCAAGAGACTTCACAAAATCAAATCTGTCTTTGCTACCTGTTGCTACCACTTCGGCGCCAGCCCACTTTGCGAGCTGCACAACCCACTTGAGAATCCACAGTCAGTAATTGCCTCAAAAACACTACAGAAAATATCAGATTGAGGGTGAATTTGCCAAAGAGGAAAGTACAACTTGAGAATATACACACCATTCCAACAGCCCCAGACCCAGCCGTAACGAAAATACGTTTCCCCCTTGCTCCCGTTCCTGCAACAGGCTGGAGTGGAGCCTGAACAAACAGCGCTTGATACGCTGTTTCTACGGACATCGGGACCGTAGCAGCTTGAACAAAAGACAGTGTCTTTGGCTTGAAAGCCAGCTCATACGTGTCGCAAATTGTATATTCTCGACCAGCGGCAGTGCGGTAATAGTGTGTTCGACCGTATACTTCAGTTCCGGGCTGAAATGGTGAGTCTGAAGGGGCGGTAATGACGGTCCCAGCCATGTCGTAGCAAGGGACCAGCTCTTTGCCTTTGGTTTCGGAGGCCGGCGGGGGAAAGTTCTTCATCCAGAGGAGCTCTCCGCTTGTGAGAGCTGCTGCGTGAACGCGGATAAGGTGCTCTGTCGAGTTGGGGACGGGAACTGGGAGAGGTCGGGTAGCGAGAAAGAGGGTCTTCGATGCTGGATCTGACTGAAGGAGGACTTTCATGGTGGTTGGGAGAGTTGCTGAAAGCATGGCTGATGCAAGAAAACTATTGATGTTATGATGAAGGTTTTGGAGATTTTCGTTGTTAGGGGGAAAGTGGATGCATATGCACAGAACTTGAGACACAGAGAAGCTCTGTCTGTATTAAATACTTAACCTTGTGCTGCCTGACCGTGTTTTTGAATCGCCCTTTCCTGAACTTATCCGAGGAGAATCAGGAGATAACCGGAAGATAGTCAGGAGAAATCATGATAAGGCTGTCTCTCTTTGCCGTTGCCTTCTCCCCTAAACTGCTTTTCCTCAAGTAATGTTTTAGTTATACTTGCTTCAATTTTTCTAATTAGGCCAATTAGGTTCGGCGGGCAATCCACTCTACAAGAAGTCTCGTAAGCATCTGCGCAATGCGGCGTAAATCAATCCAACTCCTCCGTAATTACCCCGCAATTCAGAAGCTAGCAAGCAGCTCACTCATCAGTATGCATACGGGCTCCCCATGTCAGGCGGCGACACGGAGGATAATCTGCCGACATTTGGAAATTTTAACTGCATGCCAAGAGTCTTGAGAGCGGAAAGAAACGGAGTGGCACCGCGGAGAAGCACAAATTCTCCTCTTCGGCAGCTAAGCAACTTATTTTTCCAAATTCCTACCTTCTTGTAGAAAGTTCAAGCCAGTTCCTTTCTACTCCTGGCGCGGTCGGTCCGGGTGTAGACCACTTGTCGCGAAGATTATACGAAACAACCGGAATCCACAATCCCCGTTCTCCGTGAGAGGACGCCCTCTCTGGTGTGAGCAGCCCCCAACCTAGAATGCGCGATGAAATGAAAAGTCCATATTTCTTGTGAACGGAGAGGGCGATTGACTGGGAGGCGGATGCCAGAGCATCGACACAAAGATACTGATGTTTTGATTCTGCCAGCATACAACTTTACTACCATCAGGACACCAATGTAGGAAGTATGCGAAACCCTTGAGAAGCACTTCACAATTTGATGTACTCTCACTAAGGCTGACGTTGCACCAAGATTCAGACGCTCTATCAAATACTTCAAACTTGTAAGTCATTAACATCGCTTGCTTCAAATCCAACTTTCATATTGCCGCAACTCAAGCTCATCCTCCTCCAGAATTCTGTCTTTTGCTCGACTCTGCTTGCTACTCATAATAAAGCTTTGGTACGATCTGTTCTGTCTTTTAGGATAATCTCGATATCCTTCTCCTCCGCTCGGTGGGGTTCCCAATGAGATTTTCCAAGGCTTGGGCGTGAATATCTCAGTGCTACCCATTATCTTAGGGAAGTAATGGCTGAGAAGAGGACGAATCGCCGGGAGAGAGGCGCATATCAGGGAGATGTTTAGTTCAAATATGGACCAAATTACTGTCGGCGCGTTGTCAACTATGGGAGGAAGATCAGTATAGTTTCTCAAGCCGGCAAGTAGAACTTGACTTACACGTAGCATCGCGAGAGGTCTCAAAGTTGACTAGGAAGAACAGGCGAGTGATGCTTGTGGCAGTGGCACTGGAAGTATCAGATTATGCTTGGTCAAATGGTAATATCCACTTACAAGCCGCCAGTAAGAAATACCCCGAAGACACCAATCTTCTGCTTCCAATGCAAATTCAGTGTATTCAACTCCGGCAATGGAATCATTATTATGACAACATCCAGTGCGGTGTTAACAGCCGAGGTGGCGATTGAGAAAGTGTTGACATCGATGCACGTCTTCGGAAGTGCGGGATTCCAGATCGATTGGATTGGTATACACTGAAAAATTGCCATCAACGTTGTGATGGTAGCTGAAGTTGCTACGCAAATAATGGTTGCCCAAACTGTAAATCGAAACCAAGGCGCCATGAATATGCGGAGGTAGAGAAGCAGGACGGAGATCTTGGCAAATGCCAGAGGGGCTGCATAGAAGACCTCGGTTATATAAAAGAACTTTGTGAGAGTCAGAATTTGTATGAGTTAGCCAGAGCTGTGAGTGAGACTACCTCAACAACGCTAGGAAGCACTTCTGGGGCTATCTTCCACAGATGTTGCCCAAATCCCTTGTACACAGCTGCTACTTGTTAATCTTTAACTTGGCTTTATTGAAAGTGCTACCTCACCCAATACCTCAATGACAGGTGTTGGCAATAGTAATGTCTATGAATACTTAACCTTGATTTTCAGATAAGCACCAGGAGGACAACTTACAGCAGATATCAAAGCAAACCAATCATCTTCAAAAAGTCGGCCCGAGAATTTCAATCTTGAGTAGACTCTAAGGCTCACAATAGGAAAATTGATGCACATTAATATTATAGCAATCCGACTTATTTGGCCACTTCTCGATTCGATAGGGACCGCTGCGCAAAGTTGTATGTTGACCGCACTGGCCTCTACACATCATTAGCATTTTTTGACCCTTGAAATAATGGGAACCAACTGAAAAGGTCCGTTGCATTACAAGCAGTTTGTGAACAACCAACGAGATTTGCCTGCAACGTATTGTTTCCGCAGATACACGAAGTGTTCGTTGGGGAGCAACCCGAAGCTGTTACTCCCTCCACGAGACATGGTAGCTAACTGCATTAGTGACCCTTAGATTCTCCGGGGGGGAGGTTGGGACTTTGACCTACAACACAACTTGGAAGTTGGGAGAGAAGCAGTGCTTGAGCTTGGGGCATTTGCACTGCCGCCATCGATGCCAGCCCCAGAAGTAACCCGCACAACGGCGCCTTCATCGGGCAAAAGAAAGTTGAACATGGACTGACAACCTTATTTCCTGAGAAGCCCAGATAAAGTGATACCTTTCAGCCCTGAGGTCTTATTAAACCTCGTCAGGAAGTGGTATGGAAACGCTGTGGGAAATTATGGCGTGCGCCGTCTTCCTTAAGCCTCACGCCACCAAACCTTTTGCTGAAAGTGGCCACTGGGAGAGATAGAAAGAAAGTATGGCAAGGCGTCAACGTAACCAAGTTCTGCTGGTAGTGACGTATATGTTCGACTCTCGCTACTCAGATTTCTATGCACAGATGTTTTCTGTGGAGTTTTAGGAAGGACTTGGGAGCTTTGCGAGTCGGGAAGGGGCGAATCCCTTTGGTGCTTTTCTCGCGTCGAGCTCTCCGACTAGATATGTTCCAGGATCCACGCTGCGCAGGATGGAGAAAGGTTAATGCACTGGATTGTGCACGAAGCGATGGTTCATCGTTTGATCGAGACGATCGCGATCGATCTCAAACGAACGCTAAATTGTCTGAGCCCGAAAGATTGTTAACGGTACACCAAGCCTGGAACGTAAATGGTTTCTTCCCCGTTCGTGAATCCCCAAACATCAAGAGCCGAAAGTTTCTTAAGCCATGGAGCAACCCAGGCGTTCGGCCTCTGAGTTATTCGCAGGCCCTTCCTCTCCTGGTAAGAAGTATCCACGGGCCAACCGCCCATACCCCCCAACCGCCCACCCCAAAAATTTCGATTTTTAATTATACCTTTATTATAATTACAAATCCTATTACATATTAATGCTTTATAATATTTTCGATACTCTAATAGCTGTATATTTATTTCAAACTAGTAATGCGGCTAGAATCGCTCATAAGGTAGTGATTTTTTCATTTTTACCCCGCTATCAAATCCCTCCCTACGCAGTAGAGCCTTGCTACCCGTCGGCAATCCCTCGCTTTGCTGGGGCCGACTGAGCTGGCCCAAACCGGGTGAGGAAATGCCTGCGAGTAGAGGCTCGCTAGAGGCAAAATACCAAAATTTTGTGATTTTTTTTGAAGTACTAGGAAACTGCTAAAAACTTCCTGGATTACTATACCAAGGCCGCTGATTACGAATATCTACTCAAAATTTCGGTTTTATGCCACTGTTCTGGTGAAAAGGGGTGGGCGGTTGGCCCGTGGATACTTCTAATCGCTATCGGGGGAAAATTTTCTTAAGCCTCAGGCATGACTTTCGCTTAATTATCACGCTAAGGAGTATTTAGCCTCGCTCCCAGCTTCTACGAGCTTCCGCTTCTGTTCAGAAAATACACGGTTCCAGAAATCTCTCTGTTGTTACGTGACGTGTGTTTTTACCCGGTAGATCGGTTGGCCTGGTACATGGTCCACTTCTGCCTATTTGTCCTCTGGATCTCATCGCGCGATCGATAAATAGTCAATAATTATCGATAATTATCGGTTATCGGCCAATTAGCGCGATTATCTATCAATCGATTATCGAGCCTATTGGAGCCGACACTGCATAGATCCACAAATTAATGTTAGAGAGTGTTTATAGAATGTTACAAAGCTGGTGAGATATCTAGTTTGAGGTTTTCCTCAAATAGGAAAATGGGTTGCCCTTCATTATTTTTGGGAATTTGTGTTTGCAGAACGAGCTGAATTTACTCTGGTACGGCAGGGGAGACCTGAATCTAAGCCACAGAAAAGAGCAACCACAATGGCCTGAGTCTCAAACCCCGCACTTCTTCCTTCCGGTATTCCACGCGTCTCACTGCATGAAAACCATCTCAGCTGCTGCTTGTTGGCACCTTCATCAAAAGCGTTACGAACAAGCATTGTATTATTCCCAGCCCTGTCTAAGTCGCCATGACGAAGCTGCCAAAACCAGCTTTGGAGAGTAAGAGGAAACTCGCCGATGCAGTAGCTGATGAGCCTTCCGAGCCTGACGAACCCCCCACAAAGCTTCGCAAGGAATTCGAACAGAGGATGAGTCAACTCGAGGAGAGTATCATAACTGCCAAGGACAGCGGATACCCCCCAAAACTTTCGAAAGAAAGACTTGAAAGCCTTGCCGTCAATGAACGAGACGACATCTATCCCACAATCCTTCCAAGTTTCTGTCAGTCTTCAGTAATACCATCAAAACGAAGTCCTCTTGTACGAAGCAACCTTTGCACGCAATGTGCAAAGATTGATCTCGACGCTCTACTATCGAGGCCACACAAAACCCAAGCTGGTCAGCTAGCGAAGAATCTCAGCCCAGTTCCCAACTGGAAAATTGAGTCTTGCGCCTTGTGTAGCTTGCTATCTTCAACCATGGACCTACATTATTGGCCATCTGGGAGGAAAGTACCACTTAGAACCTACTCATCTAACAAAATGAAAGATAAGGCATGGAATTCAATCAACACGAACTTGTTGGAAGCTGGGCACAGTGAGAGGTATATCATTTCACAGCCCGAGGGCATGGAAGGTCCTGTCAGAATTATAAAGGACGAAATTGAGAAGGCCAATTTTGAAACCGTTAAGAGTTGGATCAGTCTTTGTCAAAACAAGCATACGAAAATATGCTCCATCGCGGACCCTTCCTTCGTCCCAGGTCTTAAGTTGATCGATTGTATAACTAGCGACATCGTCCTGGCAAAAGATAAGCCCTACGTGGCGTTGAGCTATATCTGGGGATCAAGCACCGAAGTTTCTGAGAATCCGAGCAAATTACCAGAAACCCTGCCAAACACAATCAAGGATGCCATTATTGTAGCAAAAGAGCTTGGATATCGCTATCTTTGGGTTGACAGGTACTGCATCGACCAGGCAAACGAAGGAGAAAAAGCCGATCAATGCGGAAAGATGGACATAATATACCAGAACGCTGAACTCACCATAATTGCAGCTATTGGTCAGGACCCGAGTTATGGGCTTCCCGGCGTTAGTCTAAGAAAAAGGAAACCTCAACATTTGACGACTTGCTCAAAGATTGGGAAACATTTCTTGATCTCCACCCAGTCTTGGTCAAAAGAAGTGGTTGAAACGACTAAATGGAAAACTAGAGCCTGGACATATCAAGAAGGTTTGTTGTCCAGGAGGCGACTAGTTTTTGCGGAGGAACAAATGTACTTCGAGTGCTACGGGATGTATTGCTACGAGTCGGTCTGATCCATCCCATCTGTCAATACGAGCGGTTTGGAAATCGGGCGCTATTTGGGCTAAGCGAGGGGCCCGATTGCTTAATCGTCTACTTAAGCGAGCTCCGGTTCATAAATCCGAGGTCGGATACGAGCGAATTTTGAAAATATCATAATATTTTCAAATTAATAAATTAATAAAATTCTATTAGTAGGATCTATTAAAAATGACTTAGTTAATAATACTATTTAAGTAATTTTAGCTAAAGTCTTTTATTAGAACTATATATAATTTTAATTATAAAATAGTTTTTTAAAATATATAATTATATAAATCTTTTTATCTTTAATAGAATTTAATCTAGGTGATACTCCTCTAAGTTTCTTATAAGCATTAATGTTTTTTATTTAATTAAAATTTAGCCTTTGCTTTTTATTAGAAAGTTATATATTATTTTAAAATTAGGCCTTTTTATTAGCGAATCGGGCCCCTCGCTTAGCCCAAATAGCGCCCGATTTCCAAACCGCTCGTATTGACAGATGGGATGGATCAGGTCCAATTTCCGCTTCAAACTCTGCATAGGAAAGATATGCAAAGCTTCAAAAGCGTTTTCTGCTCCGAAAAATTGATTGGAATATTTCCGAAGGGGGTTGGAACTACAAGTATTGAAATAGTTCAGCGTATTGAAGAGTACTCAGGACTCAATCTCACAAATCCTTCAGACATTCTAAGAGGGATGTTGGGAATCTTCAATGCATTCCAAAGAAGTCGCCTGGGTATCTACCACTGCTTGGGCATACCGATCTTGCCTTCGATAGCGCAGGGGGTTAAGCCGATTGAGGGGTGGACGCCGTCCATGGGATTTTTCTTCGGGTTATTTTGGGACCTACAAGAACGATCAGAAAGAAGGAATGGCTTTCCGAGCTGGTCTTGGACTGGTTGGTAAGGTCCTGTGAAGTGGAAATGGGCCTGGGTCGATCCTATGAAATGGCTAGAAGTAAAATTTGACCCTGGCGTCCAACTGAGCGTCGAGTTGATCGATGGACAGATATTGAAATGGGAGACCTTTCAGGAAATCAACATCAAGCGCAACATGTTGTCAGATCTGTCTAACGTCATTTATCTTGCGGCGTGGACAATTGAGGTTTATATAATTGAACGAGAACAACAGAGCGACAAAGATGAGTATAAAGCCATGCTCAAATTAGAGGATGGTGGGCATCTCGACTGGCGGTTCAAGTCCACTTCGAGGATTGAATTTCTACCAGGTCAAGTATGCAAGGGAATTATCTTGGGTCATGATCGCAGCGGCAATTCCACAGGGCCTGCTATACTGGTTATTGGCAAAGTCAACGATACAATGGAACGAATCGGTCTCAGTTGGGTCGATCAATTGGATTATGAGAGGTGGAACAGAGATGGGGCTTCGGAGTTTTCGAATGAGAACAAAAACTGCCTCTGGATAAATCCGAACTTACTCAAGCCTCTAGAATTAGTCAAGTCATGGGAAGAGATTCGACTTGGTTAGTTTAATTACTCCGCCAACTCCACTTCAAGAGGAAAGGAACTCGTAAGAGTCTTGATGGTTAAGCTCCCTTCTACTCTCGGAAGAAATTCACACTTAGATTATCAGAAAAGTAAATTCAAAACGTCTTCCTTAACACCCACGTTTTCATCTCTATCCAACTCTAACATATCTTTATTAATAGCTCATCCATCTTCTATTAATCTCCCCCCTCCACCCAAGATATCCTCGTCGATAGCTCTGATTCGATAGGGTACTTCTGAAACCCCGGGACGAATCTCATTATAGCGTCCTTCCAGCGTATATTGAAAAGAGAAGCAAATGTGTGGATGAGAGGAATCATATTTTATATCCTAATGCGGACCTTAAAAGTCTAATGGGTCTCAACTGTTCTATACAGAAAGCGTGCGTTTCCTTCTCTCCCCGTCATAACTTAAAACAAACACTTTCTGACCTATTTTTCTGTTAAATAGTTCAGAGATTCTAAGAGATCGCCCGTTTCGGTTACTGGATATGCTCCGACAAGCTATAGGCATAAAAGGGACTGGAAAGACATAAAACTCAACAAATTCCGCCTCAACCCAACACTAGGTTTCAAGTCTTTACATTACAAAACTACAAAACGTCTCCCGACTTTGACATTATTAGCCGGAGTAGTTTAAATTTCAGTGCAAATTTCCTGCCCGCACCAGTGCTCTTGATAGGTGAGGGCAAGGAAAATAACTTCCTGAATTACTGTTTCCGTGTTTGTCGGTTAATTATGAATAAATAGTGGTAACATATTTAGAAGGGCCCTCTTCGGGCCCCTCGTTAAAAGTTGATGATTTCTGGTGACGGTAGTCTTCGCTGCGCCGCGTTCGTGTAATAGGGGTAAGTAGACCTGAGCAGACCTGAGCAGACCTAAGCCGAAGGTGAGCCTGACCTGAGCCGAGCCCGAGCAAAGGCGGCGCTGCTTAAAGTGAAGATAGGGTTGGGAAGAGCAAACATTCCGGCGTGGGAACAGTGAGTACGAAGTCGGCAGCATCTGATAGAAAACAACGGAGCGGCGGCCCGCGATCTCAAACGGTGAAAAGTAGACTGTGGCACTACTGGGTGGCGTTAGGAGTGAGTCTTTATATTCAGAAGGCTTTTGAGGGTCAAAGTTCATCACTTTATAATAGACTAGACATGTCTCAAAGGAAAACGAACTCGTTATATATTGTTAGGACTGGGTTTGACCGTAGTACGAATATTGCGGCATAAAGTCATGCGACTACAGGGCACATGATGTCCCAGCCACTAATCACACGCTGTAATCAGTGAAACTAGCCTGTAAAGCCACCACCACTAAAGTGCCCTGGAAGCACCTGGAGCTCAGTGGGTCCGTACCTAAATTATAGGCTACCTGCCCCTGTAAAGCGAGGTTTACTAAGGCTATAGGCTTAAGCCATGTAACGAGCCCAACCCCACTAGTCTGCGCGCACAGGGCATTTTAGGTATATTTCAAATTTGAAACCCTCAAATTCCTAGAAAATAAATTAATGAAATTATACTTTAATTACTTTACCTCTTAGGCCCCGAATATCAAGTCGTAATTATTTATTCATTATCTCATAACATTTAAGTGCTTTCGTAGAGTTTGGTTTTGGGAAGCCTGTAAGCGGGTTCGGGGTGCCTGAATCTGCCTGAAAATTGCCTTGTACGCGCAGACTAGTGGGGTTGGGCTCGTAAGGAGTTTCAGGGATTGAAAGACAATTCTAGGGTATGCCCCTGCAAGTATAGGGGCTTGATCGCTAAAGGGCCCTATGAGACCTCTAAGTTCCAGCGTCTGAGCGCTATAGTCACTGGGCCAACAGCGTGGCGCTATAGCCACAGCCACTACAGGACACATACGCTGAAGTCGCATGACTTTATGCCGCAATATTCGTATACAGAGTAATATAGCAGATATAGTTCAATTTCTTTCTACTAGTATTATAGTCATCGATAGGAATGATTGTCTTGGCTCCAAAACAACACAAAAAATAAATACCTCCGGTCCCATGCCGGACTCCCTGATTAACGAAGCTAATAGCGAAGTTTCAGACAACCGCAAAGAAATTTGGACTTGAATTTTGAGTCTTAGACAGGTAACTTGGGCTTAGATTGCAAAACCTAGCCGGGAGAAAATATCGCTATCCTATGCATCTGCGGTTGGATTGAAATCACCTTTTCTTCACTATCGATCCCACTAGCGCGTCGCCTTACGTTTTGCTCTCAACCAAATGATATAACAAGACACTCTATTTAACTTTCCAACTAAGCCTAGGAACACCTATCTGTCCTGCCAATTCAGGTTAGCATTTAACGCGGGACCCCGCAGTTCCTTTTTGAATTGTCGCTTAACTGGGGTTTGCAGCGGGTTTGCAGAGGGCTTGCAGCGACGTCGGCAGCGCAACAGCGCAAAATCCGTTTTCCAAGAGTAGGACCGACTCCCTTGACCTAACCCGTTGTTAACGTTACATGAATCCGCAGAGGATCACCATAAACCTTGTCTAGTCAACCCTTTCTAGTTGCTACTCGTATTGCGGAGTTGAGTTCACGAGGCGTTAAGCAAAGCCGCCTCTTTTGCAGTAAGGGGAATGGAAGGTTGCAGTCCAAGCCAGCATTCTTTGCTTCATTCCGTCAATTGCTTAACTGCTTTGGAGTTTAGAGTGCTGCGTTTATCTATTACACTTTTAGTAATAGTTCTATTCTTAGTTATATGCTCGTAATAACGGTGTAATAAAGTAGTGCAGGCTTAGTAATAATCCAGGATCGATTAGATTAATCTATGCCCTATATACCTTATTTAGTAAATTTGTATGAGAGGTACTTCCAAGCGTCTCAAAATAGGTATCGAGTTAAGCGACTCTTATAAAACGCTTTATTTCTTCTTACTACTATATTATATTCATATAAAATAAGAACTAAATCTCTCATAAGTAATATTATAAAAGAAATAAGATCAAGTAAAGCAATCGCATAACTTAAATTTTATTATATAATTAGTAGTTATAAAGTTATTCATAAAACTATAAGGAAGTACCTTATAAGCTTCCTATAATTATAAGGTATTTCAGGCCTTGAGGGATAATTTCGCTAAGAAGTGATCCGAATTTCGGGTCGATCCTTAGCGATCTCATCTAGCATCGGGTGCTAGACCGATGTAGCATAGATCATCGCCCAACCTGGAGTAGGGGCGAGAATCTGTCGGCCGCGGTTTGGTCCTCGCAATTGTCCCAGCTGCCCTATTGTCTGACAGCCCTGCATGGATATAATGAAGTCGATTTTAATCCTTGTCCAAATCCAATATTACTTCCCCTTATTGTAACCTCCGTGGTTACATCTCCCAGCACCAGCTTTCTCCTAGACGGATTCGGGGAATAGGCCGCACATGGGCTTAGAGCTTTGAAGAACAATAAAACCAGCTGCCTTTAGTACGTCAGCTGCGCATTGAATTCGGGCCGTGAAAAGAAGATGCAATAGCTGCCTTTAGTCGAGGGACTATTAAAACAACTGCTTCCCAGCAGCTACCAAGAAGAAACTCCATAGGAGTAGATAAGTCCAGCGCAATTGAAAATTAATAGTGCTGACATGCTCGCTCCAATACTTGCCAGTCTCTGTGCTGCTCTAGGTGCTGCTCTACCCAGCCTCAATAACCGTCAGGCTGGTGCCTTCGCCTTTGCTTCGAACTCGGCCGGCAACCTTCGGCTATCCTCCATAGCAGCTCCTGTCCAAGGTCCTGGCAATCCTGGTCCTTCAACGTGGAAACTCAACATTGACGACACGCCTTCTGGCTTTAAACAGACCATCACTGGCTTCGGTGCCGCCATTACTGATGCTACTGTTACATCCTTCAACACCCTGTCTAGTGCTTCGTTGAGCTCTCTGCTCAATGAGTTAATGACCTCTGCCGGTGCCGACTTCGCCCTCATGCGCCACACGATTGGGGCTTCTGATTTGTCCGGAGACCCAGCGTACACCTATGATGACAACGGAAGCAATGCCGATCCCAACTTGACGGGCTTCAACCTTGGCGACCGAGGCACCGCAATGGCTCAGATGCTAGCCCGGATGAAATCGTTGCAGCCGGACCTGACCATCCTCGGCTCCCCCTGGAGTCCACCTGGCTGGATGAAGTTAAACCACGCCATTGATGGAAACACAGCTAACAACAACCTGAACGATGGGTATCTTACCAATAACGGGGCCCAATATTCTAGTGCTTTCGCCAAGTATTTTGTCAAATACATTCAAGCCTACCAGGCTCAAGGAGCCCACATTGACGCTATTACCGTTCAAAATGAACCTCTGAACAGCCAAGCTGGCTACCCTACTATGTACATGTTCGATTTTGAGCAGGCCGGTTTGATCCAGAATTACATCGGTCCTGCCCTTGCAAATGCAGGTTTGAACACAAAAGTCTGGGCATATGACCACAATACTGGTGAGTAAATTCGGTAATTTTGGTTGACATTCTCTGAGCTCACACATAATTTTCTAGACGTGCCCTCATACCCTCAGAATGTCTTGAATGGGGCTGGTCAGTACGTCGATACGGTGGCTTGGCACTGCTATGCCAGCAACCTCAACTGGAATGTTTTGACCCAGTTCCACCAAAGCAACCCAAGTGTGAAGCAATATATGACTGAGTGCTGGACTCCAAAAACTGGTGCCTGGAACCAAGTTGCGGGCTTCACCATGGGCCCTCTCCAAAACTGGGCATCTGGTGTTGCTGCCTGGACTCTCGGCACCAATGCTCAAGATGGCCCTCACCTGTCGTCTGGCGGATGTGCTACTTGCTCAGGGTTGGTAACCATCAATAACGGCGGGTACACCTTTGAAACCGCATACTATATCATAGCCCAGTTCAGCAAATTCATGCCTTCAGGAGCCAAAGTTCTCTCCGGTACCGGTAGCTTTGACTTCTCAAATGGAGGCATTCAATCTGTCGCATCCTTGAATCCCGATGGAACCCGTACTATTGTCATTGAAAATACCTTCGGGAATGACGTCTATCTCACCCTCACTACTAACAGCGGACAGGAATGGAGCGGCAATATCCCTACTGAGTCGGTCACTACCTGGGTTCTCCCTCCGGTTTAAGCCTGAAGAAGTCTGCGATGGAGGATTTAATGTAATTCATAAGTGGGCATCAGGGCTGAGGGGAAACTTTTTGAGATATCGCAATTGAGGGCTCCCTAGCTGTTCTGTTCATGTCAGCAATGAAGAGCCATGAGCGTATATACTGATTATTGACTTATTCATCAAATTTAAGGCGTTCTCACGAGACTAGTATTGGCACTGACTGCAGGAATTATGAAGCGAGCAAGAGCAAATGTAAAAGCAATAACGAATCTCACCAACTCGTTTGCCATCCTCCTCGCCCCGCCGCTCTAATAAACAGAGGTACTTATGGTAATACGGTACGTCTCATCGTCTCCCCATGCTATCCACATTATCCCATTGCTCTATCATTCCAAGCTGTCTAGAAGCAATTCATTTTCTTCCTGTGCATCTAAAGTGTGCGACCCAATAACTAGGTAAGTATATCCCTTTTCCCTCTCGTTTCTCGTCCCAGCACCAAACCTCATCCCCTGAAGCCAGATATTCGCACCGTCGGCTGTCTGACTTGAACTCGGAAACTTAGTTCTTGGCGACACTCTATCCATATTGCCAGATGACAGCTTCGTCGGGCCCACGTTTAAGCGGGCCTTGTCAATTTAAAGTTGGCTTCTTACTTCAGGGGAGTCTTGCAGTTCATTCCTTGGATATCTGTTATACCAGAAAGCTGACTTGCGGCGGGTTCATTGATGAGACCACAGAGTCGATGACCTACATTCAATCATAGATCTCAACCCTCTGGTTCGATGTACTTTTAATTTTTCGTACAGATGAGGAAGACCAATATAGAGGAGGGGTAAAGAAAGGAGTCCGTTTGTCAATGTTCACTGACTCAATGCAGCATTTCAACATTGGCGGAGGACGCGACAGCTTGGGACTGCCTGCGCCTCAACATCAACCCCAAGGTCAGCAGGCATACCAGGCCCTGAACTTTCAACAATTCATCAATGGAGCCGCCGTCCTCAGTTTAGCGAGTGCGGAGTATACGACAGCGGTCCATCTGGTAAATTGTTGCCTGGGCGGTGTTTAGATCCGGATTGCTGCATCCCCGCAGAGAAGTCATGGGCCACGAAAGCCTCGGTAACCTACTCTTCATTGCACTTTAGTCTATTACGAGAAGAAATATAAATCACATTAGACTCGTTAGGCGTAGGGAAGAAAATGTAAGATTTACGAAAGAGTAAGAGAGACTCCCAACTAGCAATTGAGACTACTAATAAAGGAGAATATGTGTTACTAATAGAATAAGTCCACTATTAACTATTAAGCAAGCTTTTACTAACAATGCACATTTATTTTCCAGCATGTAATTGAGTAAGCTCCCAATGCCCGCTCCTAACCTGCTGAAATATTGCTTCAAAACAGGGCGCTAATAGCTAAGCTATATATATTAAATAGCGCAATGCGAAGGCAATAGCGAACCTGACAGAAAACATAGCTTTTAAATGCTCTGGAGTATCTCGCAACAATATATCTGGATGATAAGAGAAACGGAAACTTGAGCTTTAAGTACAGTGGGGTACTCCGCGAAACAGCGGGATCGCGGGTTAACCTCGACTCCGAGTTGAACGCCGTTTTGTTTTGATACGATAATGACTTGCCATTGGTAATCCTACAAGCGAGCGGCTAGGGGGAGTCCCCTGTACATTCAAGATAAGCACAAGACAACCTTATCTTCTTCCCTCTGTTCAGGTTTTTTAACACTCTTCCAAATAACATGATTTCTACGGTCAAAAAGCACTGTGTTCTCGTCTCGGCCTTTATCGCCTTCATCTTCTTTATCATCACTCCGACACTTCCCCTCATCAAGCGCGTGAGAACCAGCTTGGTTCCCTCAAGAGGGCATGACGCAGGCGCTTTTCGAGCCCCAAAGCTGAACGTTTGGGCCGATCTGAGCACGGAAGAAGCGGAGGACGTTGTCAATTTCTTGTTCAAGAAATCAGACCTCAATTTGACCCGGTCATCATTGGCTACGAGGTGCGCGCCTCCCAGGCTCCCACTCTCAAGATAAGTCGCTGATAACGCCGAATAGCCATGACAACCAAATCTTCTTTGTGGAGGTACTCCAGCCTAATAAAACGGACGTACTGGGTTATTTGACTGGCAGCTCGGCTCCCCCGGATCGATGGGCACGAGTTGCAATCGTGCAGAGTGCAACTGAAGAGGCTTTGATTGTCAATTTCAAAGTATATTGCCGTTCAATCTCCATACTTCCATCAATTCTGACAACGCTTTTATTAGGTTGGCCCATTACCAATCAATGAAGCTGCTGAAATACTATCTTTGGAGTTTTGCTACAGCTCTGGTCGGAATTACGTAGCCAATTCAATATCCATTCAAGACGAGCTAGTGGCATGGTCCCTGTCGAAACTGGTGGAATTTTCCGATATCACGCAGGAGCTTTTAGGAGATGTTAGTATGTTCCCTTGGAGAGATTCCACGCTTACCTGTTCTAATGCAGGATGAGGACCCTTTCGATCCAAATGGTCTTTCGGTGGGAGGCAGGTTGTCTTCCGTCGAAAATGGCACCGCAGTGGTTTGGGTGCACTTTGCACTGTCCAACCCAACCGGCGGTACTTCAACTTTGCTACCGCAAGGTCTTTACACTCAGATAGGTAAAGAGACATCTTCCACGAAGGCGAGATCAGTGATGCTTAGTTATGACAGATGCATCGACCAGGGACTCCTCGAATTGGAAAATCCTACAATGGTACTATAATAACGTACTTTACGACACAGCAAATGATCTTCGAGATGCGATCAATGCGCCTGGATTCAAGAAAGCGGGAAGAAATACTGACGGTCCTTGGACAGAGACAGTTGACTTTAGCGAAGGCCATGCTGATAGAAGCAAACCACCACCAACTATGATACAGCCCACAGGAGCGAGATATCACATCGACGAAGAAGAAAACTACGTCTCATGGATGGGCTTTGAGTTCTTCATGAGAACCTCATCAGACGCTGGAGTTGCGCTGCACGACATCAAGTTCCACGGAGATAGCGTGATCTATGAGCTTGGCCTTCAAGAAGCACTCGCCCACTATGCAGGCGACGATCCAACACAGGGGGGCTTGGAATTTATGGATACATCCTTTTACATGGGAAGGTTGATGTTCGAGTTGGTCCCGGGTTACGACTGTCCGGCATACGCGACGTATTTATCTACAAGCTATCACTTCGCGGAGAAGACAGTGGTAAACCAGAACAGCATTTGTGTCTTCGAACATACGGCGGATTACCCAATACAACGCCACAGCTCCACTACTCGAGTCTCAGTTTCGAGGAACACCTACCTGGTCGTCAGATTTGTCTCTACGGTTTGGAATTACGATTACACCTTCGACTATATATTCTACCTAGACGGCACCATTGAAGTGAAAGTTCGAGCCAGCGGGTTTATCTTCGCCGCTTTCTGGACGGGAAATGAAGCTAACGAAGACGAGTATGGATTTCGAGTTCACGACAGTTTGGCGAGTAGCATGCATGACCACGTCCTCAACTTTAAAGCTGACCTGGATATTGCTGGCGCCGATAACACAATGGTACGACTCGGCATCGAACCAATTACGTTGGAATACCCGTGGGACGATGACAGGATAAAACCAAGAAATACAATGCACCTCGTGCAAAGGCCGGTCGAGAAAGAAACAGGACTTGACTGGGCCCGTAACTCGGGCGAGATGTTGATCGTCATGAATCAGAACAAGACAAATGAGTGGGGGGAGAAGAGGGGCTATCGGGTCCAGCCAGGCTCTGGGATTGGAAGTCCAACCCACCTTACGATTCTGAACTCCACAGCCTTGGGCAAGTCCGCATTGTGGGCATCTCGAGATCTCTGGGTGCTGAAAAGAAAAGATACTGAGCCCAGGAGTGCAAGTTCGCTGAACTTCCTTGATCCCTGGGACCCTCTTGTGGATTTTAGCAAATTTGTTGACGATGAAGACATTGTGCAGGAGGATTTGTAAGTCCTCTTGGTTAATTACGGCAAGACACACTCATGAGTGGACTAGGGTCATTTTCTTCAATCTCGGCATGCACCATGTTCCGCACTCGGGAGACATCCCAAATACCCTCATGCACACTTCATCTTCATCAGTAATGTTCACTCCATTCAACTTCCACAACCGGGATCCAAGCCGTCTCAATTCACAAGGTGTGCAGCTAGATGTGGAGGCTAAGGGAGCAAAACCAAGGTATTTTGGGCAAACATACCACGAGGGAGTGAAATTGAAAAAAGTAGGTGACAGCTCCCCCCCCCCCCCCCAAGGCTATGGGGTATTTAAGAAATCTTGTGCGAGTGTGAGTGCGACTGACACGACTTAAGAGCGATCTCGAACCAGACCTAACGAAGTTCGGGGGCTCTTCTGGGAATGTAAGCTGGGTTTCAAAGCTTGTAGGACCTATTCCATGGGCTTGAACCTCGACGCATAATAAGTTCATAAAATACACGACATCAAGCGCGGATTATCGAATGTGCAGAGAAATTCACACTTTGGGCTTGAGTATTCTGCGTTTTGCTGAGAAATACAGTGAGCTAGACTTTTTTTTGCACCTTTAAGCAAAAATGAAGTGACTGTGAATGGGTATCTCTCAAACGCCAACTCACAGCAAGTACACAATTTCTCTATACCTTTGCGAGCCCTCGCAGAAGAGCATCTACTCTAAAAAAGCCAAACGTCACTCTGAGGGCGGAACTCTCAAAATCAATTGTCTAGCATTAACTCTGTATTTGATATGAGATAAGATTGATAAATGCATGCTTGTGGACTCAAATTTCAGTCCATACGTTCACCAAATCGCGCTTCAGATCTGCCATCAAACTTTTATTTTAAAAGATGACGATGTGATATTATTTCCGGCCTTTCTCATCTTTTCCGGCTGTACTTTCGTACACAGATTTATCATCCCGGCAGCTGCTACCTTGCATGGCTCTCAAAACCTCGTCCTCTTTATGTTCGCAAAAATGGCCAACTCTGCGAAAACGACCACCAGAAGGCCAAAGACTAGTCGGAGGAGACTCTCAGACTCGAGAATCCATTGGCTTGGCTCCTCCTTCTCGAGACGAATATTACCCAGAAACCTGGATGGTGGGACGAGATTCCAAGCTTGCAAGAAGAAAAGAGAATCTAGAGCGAAAATCGGTTATCTTGGGCTCACCGCAATTACCCAATAGCTAGTCAACCGTAGAATAAGTAATAATTATTATCTCATGCTGCCATCCAATTCCCATCGCAGCGTCTGCCCTTCTCCCAATTCTCCAGGCTGTGCAAATGCCTCACGAACCTGCGTATCTCTTGGCTCCAACTCCTGGGCTGCTGGCAGCGCCTCTTCCTGCATGGGCTCCGTGGACCTTGCGGAAAAACTAGAGACAGTGCATGAATCTGTGTATCCTCCAGCTTTAACACTCGTGCTCCCAACGTTTTCTCTTTGCTCCGGTCGCCTGCAGGAACTCCTGCAGTCCGCGGAGCAGAGAACTTGCGAACCCGTGCGTCAGAGGAGAGGCCCGATTTGTGGGAAGTCGGTGCAGATGATGATGCCCTAGAGGAAGGTCTGTCGGGGAAATAGCATTGCCGGAGGTCGTAGTTGCCGCGCTTGAAGTTTTTGCGTTTGCTTCCGTAATTAGCTGATATTTCTAGTTTCCCAAACAATCATTATTTTCTTCCTGCAGCGACCCAACACTCCGTCTTCTCGAAATCAAGCATTCTATGCCTCCAGCTTCGGAGCTTCCTTTATCCTCGAGAGAATTGAACAGAAGCAACTTTACCTAGCGAAGTTGTAGAACTGGAGCTCGTTGATATCGCGGTACTCGATGACGTTGATGAGCTCGACGCAGGAGTCGCCTGGGCCAAATTTGTAAATCCTTTCGAAGCACAATACGCCGAGAAAACACTCGCTGTAAAGGTCTCTGCTGCAGCAACTTGTGAAGAGCTACAAAATGTAGACAAACAAGTAGCCATTGCCTTCTCGCCTCCAGGGATGAAGTTTTCAGGCGAGCAGAAACATTTGGGGGTCGAGCAGCCATTGAATGCTAAGAACTTTTCGCACGCCTGGGCGCAGTTGAGCTGGTCTTGATAACCTGGTATGTTGAAGAATGGAAACTCATTAAGGTCTAGTGTTCCAGACATTATTCGGATAACGGAGCGAGGGAGGGAGCAAAGTTTGGGGAATAGCGGGGAGAATTGAAGCAGGAAGTGAAGGAGTTGGGATCGGGTTGTTATGTATCTCTTGCTATGCTTTAAGCAGGGGTACCGAGGTAGAATGTGCCTTTTGCACGCGTTGCCATGAAGATTAAAACAGAGAAGGCGGGTCCCAGAAGCCATTCCCTTGTTTTGGTGGACAGAGAAACCCTGAAAGGCAACCTTTCATCTGCAAGTGCGACGAAACGGTGTCGAGCTGGGGTGCCTATTTGCCGAGCCCCTATCTCCTTTTCGTTACCGTCACATGGCCCTGGGAGAAGTGGCCAGTGGGTATGAAGCTGTTGGATTCTTGATTGGTGGAGGAGATTAGAGTTTTGGTTGTTGGTGCTTGTAGAATCTTTGGTTCATCATGTGCAGTTATTATGACGCTGGTCTTACGATTATTAACGTTCAAGCTCAAGTCTTGGTCTGGAAAGGGGCTCGGCTGCTGACCCGATTATTGATTCTACCCTCGTCAAGATCAACCTCAGTTCTCTCTCAGCCAACCGCGAGACTGCTTTGAACCTTTGTAATCGCGAAACAATAAGCCTGACTTGCCCTTTCGCCATAGACAGAGACTTGGTGCTGAGTCAAGGCCGAAATCTCTTGGTATTGGAAGTCGCCCCGAAAGTCCGGAGTCGTCGCATAGTATTCACTACCCTTTATGCACCTCTTAGGGCGGAGGAGCATCGAAAGGCTCGCCGAAAGTTATTCCGCCATTAGTCTATCGTAGCGTCAGTAACATGTCCCTCAATCAATCGGGGTTTATCTCACATTACGATGCCAACACTTGACAACCGCAAACACAGCCCCAACAAGTGCCACAAATCCAGACGCCAAACCAACCCCCAACGCCAACCTATCCAAACTCAATCCAGATCAGAAAGGAACATTGACAACTCGATCACCCTGAGCGGTATTCGCACCGTCTTGGCCACCCTGCCCATAAGCCGTTGGATGATAAATACACGTCTCTCGATCATAGTTCACGAGCGACTTCTCCGCATCCGTCTCCGTTGAATTACAAACCGTGTTCTCCAAGCACTCAGTCACTCCCTCAAACTCCTTTCCCAGCCGACCAACGCAAGTTCTCGTAATCTGCGCTTTGCAGTAAGTTAGTATAATTGCTGATCTGACGCACGCTCTTGAGCATTACGAAGTCCACTCAGGGTGACGTTTGGATGACTGAGATGCATTGCGAACCAGTCTTCCATGGGGCGGGCACCAGTCGTTGCCGGTGCAGTTTCTGCTCGCGCGGTTTATGTGTCCTAGGGCGTTGCAGAACATTCTTTTGTGAGTTGGGTGCAGCCGAGTGAGGAGTGGTAAGGGAAGCAGGAGCTGCTTGCTCATTCGGGTGTTTTTGAGAAGTCGACATTTGATCAATTAACGATGATGGAAAGAAAGGAGGAAATCAGAAAACTTAACAAGCAAGACTTCTTGAAGTATGCGATGAGATCCATTATGTGAGAAATTGATTATTCAAATGAAGAATGAAAAATAGTCTGGCTTACATCGATAGAGGTTGACGAGGTGGAAAAGATGTTAAAATCATACCTGCCTGGGTTCAGAGGACTGGGAATCTCACTCACCACATTCTGCCCGGGATGTCTTCGCCAATCGTCTCACTGATATTCTTCAAAGCTTGGCAACTTCATTGTGCAAAGTCCTGATCCCGGATGTCTAGTTCTTTAGGTCTGCAGGCGGCACACACCAACGGCCAGGCCGACTTCAAGTCCTCAACCTCTCCAACTGCCGCAATTCTATTGGGCGATAGCAAATATTGAATTCAAGGGATCTATCCAATAGTTTTCCTTGTGTAACAAGGTATCCATATCGAAGAAGCACTGACCAGTAACAGCAGAGAGGTAGCGAGCGGAGCGAGCAGTCAGGGGTGCCTTGGCGTCGCCGGCCGTAATTGTTTATTTTATGACTTGTCATGAACAGCGGAAGAGTGCTGCCATCTCGATGAAATGCATATTGGCTGGAGATTGTTTTTCGAAAAAAAAGGAAATTGGGGAGTATTTTCATTTGGCGCTGAAGTACTTGAGGTTTGTTGCTGGGATAATTCGAGGCCAAATCGGGGCGAGCAGACGGCTTGCCACAGATCGACAGGAACAATGAATCCCCGGGATGCGTCTTCCCCAGCTCACACCTCGTGCGCCTCACGCAGATCGCCATCTAGAGTCACTTCCGATGCCAGGCGTCCCCATGACATTGGAAAAACATGAAACAACATGGCATTCCGGGTTCGACCAATGGCATCAACACAAGGGGGTGGCAAGCGAATCTCCTCTCCCAAAACTTTTGTCAACTTTAATTGCAGCGTCGGAGACGGTGTGGCAAAAAAAAACTCTAAAAAAAACTCAGGGGAGCGGGGCCAAAGGTAAGGAGGAAAATATTGTTAATTCGACATGTCTCCGGACCAACGCTATTCGCGATGACATCAGCGGTGAACGATAGGTAGCTCTATTGCATGGTGCGAAGGTATCGATCGCTTTTGTAGAAAATGATGGGGATGCTTCGTCAGTTGATCCATAGAGGAGTACGTTTGCGCATCGAGGCTATATATTTTTTATTTTTTAAAGTTACAGCATCTGTGAGGGATCCTGGGGGATTGGACGGGAGCAGCGGGAGCCGACGGAGATAATTTCCTCGTTAGGATCACCTCCGCCGAGCAGATTGAGGCACGGGTGGTGCACTCTTTGATTATGTGATTACTGGCTCCAATGCTTAAATTAAGATCAATTGAAAAGTTCACAACACCATAATGAAATGGTGGTGTGGCAGCGGATGGTGAGGTGGACGCAGACGTGGCTTAATTGAGACCTATTCTTGTTTCATGGGGACGGGATCTCTGCCATGTCTCACTTACTCCACACCCAAGGCAGATCGGAGTTCTGCTCGGGGAAAAGGGAGGATCGGAAGATTCGTGATTTAGTACGCATGGCGTCGAGATTCTGCGAACGCTCCGTTTTGTGCCCTTGCGTTGTAGTCTGGTCGATGTTGAAACTTTGCTATCAGATAGGGAAGACTTCTCGTGCATTGAGACGAGAGGGGATCAGATGATGAACGTAAAACGATTTGGCTGGATTCTTCTTCTGTTCGGTGGTTGAAGAAGAGTCGTATTCATCGAAAGTGCATGCAGATCGTGCCCGCCGAGTCCGAGGCGCGAGGAGCAGGCGAGCCCAACTAGATTTAGCCTTTTCAATGAATGAAAAGCTTAATAAATACCCTTACCACGGCGGTAATGTAAGGAAGGGCGGGAGTATTTTACGCCTGACAATACGCTTACATAACACGCTAAGCCAAAAAGTAACGGGACCTCCCCGATAAAGTATAGTCCGATTAACCCCCCTACAAACAGTGCCCCGCAAGCTTAGAAATGCCCCTGAAATCACCATATTTTCATATATATATATTATTTAGAGTGTAGCGAGAAAGGTTTATTATTACGTCAAGGTCAACACTTTTTCTTTTAGTATTACGGATCTCGGTTACAAGGTTGCAACCCTAGCAGCCCAACGAAGCCGCCCACACGCGGCCGAGAGAGTCTACAAACGAGAGCAATTGATCACGAGAAACGGAGAATGACTACTGCTTCTGTGATCGGGCGTGTGAATGCAATAGGATAGTCTTAAGGTAGGAAGCTCGAGCACTGGAAGTGCAGAAGGCCAAAGAGTCAGGACTGCATCGTGAGAGCAGGACAACTCGCGCGGTCCAAGTTGAGTTTCGGACGGACTTGCGACGGTTCAGGCTAATTATGGATTAACAATATCAGATTGGCCGAATCCGTCGAACAGCGGGGCGGCACAGACTTCTCTGGAGTTTTGACAGCTGCGGTCGAGGGGTTCTAGGGCGGGTGCAGGTCCTGCAAGGGTCCTCCAAGGACACAGGCCGCCCGCCCGCTTATCTGGTGGCCATCGCCAGCCTATCTTGCAGCGCAAATCATTCGCAATCGACGATTTTCCGTCAAAGCGCAAGCCTGGCGCTCGGGATGGTTGGGGGGCTCCGACCCTTCCACGAACACCCCTCGGGCTCGTGGCAGCCGTTCCTGTGCCTGGGGTTCCACTTTAATCGTTCGGATGGCTTGTGCTGCACAAATAAAAGATCAAAGCAACTAACAAACCCGGGGTGGGCAGTCCTTGTGATCACTTCTTTGCCGAAAGCATCTGAAGGGTGCGGGACAGAAGATTAGACTCTCTGTTGGTTGGGACGATGCGGACTGTCTTCGGAAAGAAGAAAAGTCGGGCAGGGCTGAGTGCAGGGTGCCTCCATAGGGTATAAGGCTCTGACTCTTGCCCACAACCCTCTTTCTCTGCTTGCCACTGCTCTGCATAGCTTCCCTAGTAGTGACCCAGGCGAAACCCTTCACCATGCAGTTCCCAGCTTGGCTCACGTGGTACAAGAAGCCGTCATATGTTGACGTCAATGAGTTTGCGAACCGCATCCGAGAGAAGGCGGAGAGAGTCCATGAGAGATCTCGCTCAAAGGCAAGGTCGAGTTCCCGCCCCATCAGCCGTCGCAGCAGTAGCGAGTCAAGTCGACGTACTAGCTGTGATGTCCCGTCGAAGCTCAGTCTTGACAGGATCTTGAAGAACAAGCCATGTATGCTCAATATTCTGTATGTTGGCCGCCTGTAACTGACTTCAGAAACAGGCAGCCCAATGTCCTTGTATGATTTCTACATGTACCTGAAGTACATTGAACACTCCGCTGAGAACCTGGAGTTTTATGTGTGGTGAGTGAAATCCCATCAACTCTGGAGGAATGAATGCTTACTCGCAACAAACAGGTTCAAAAACTATGAGAATGGCCGCTTGACTGCAGTCCCAGATCTTCCACGCGCCGTGACGCCACTTGACGGGAAATCATTCACCGACTCAGAGGCGAGCCTGGCCAAGCCAGGAAACGAGGAGATATTCTCATCAGATGTTTCACAAGGAGATGCAGAATGCCAAGACAACTCCGACTTCGAAAATGGTGAGTCTTCCCACTCGGGCCTCCCAGAACGCCGTACACTAATCTCTCCTAGCTGAACTCTTCGCACGCATTGCTGCATTCTGCAACCCAGGCAACGGATGTGGTGCCGCACCCATGTACGACCGACCCTTCTCCTTCGCCGAGAAAGCCCGTGCGGCTGAAGAGGCTGATCCCGACAAGGCCGTCAACCAAGTGGAGATTGCACGCCGTGCCGAAATTGAAATAATCAAAAAACTCTTCCTCCTTCCCGGGTCGCCGAAAGAGCTGAATATCCCGTCGCCGATGCGCCGAAAGGTGCTTGATGCCATCACCATCTCCACCGACCCCAAGATCTTTGCCCCCATCGCCGAGCACTGCCACTTGCTGCTCAAATCGTGCTCCCACAGGAACTTCATCCGTCTCGGCGTCTCCAATGGCACGTTCGAAACCATCTGCGTGGCGACCACCCTTGGCATCGTCCTCACTCTCGGCGGCTTCATGGCCATGCTCCTCCTGGCTTTCGTCTCCCCTGGTTTCCGCCAATGCTCTCGCTGGAGAGGAATCGGCATCTGGCCCATGTGGAGCATTGGCATCGGCCTCATTCTCTCCGGCTTGCGAGGCAGCTGCTTCTTCCTCCTGCTCTTCTCTCGCCGTCAACCGCTTCCATGGGAACGCTTCGAGGAGGACAATTCGCAGGCGACGAAGAGGAAGAACACCTTCATCCGCCTAGTTTCGAGACTGATGATCTTTGACAGGAAGCTCAAGGTCAAGGATGATAATCTGAGGCGCTTGCAACACAAGGTGGTGGCGCAGAGCTTGCTTGGTGGTGCGCTGTTTGCGACGATGATGGTAGTTGTGTTCTTGTGCTTGCCAATCTGGAAGGGGCTCTGATGATCGATAATGTAATGGGCGTAATTTTCATCTGTGTATAACGGCCTCGAATATATCCCTTTTCTTTGACTTGTCCTTTGATGTCGTTGTGAAGTAGTGAGATTGCGATTGACGTGAGAAGCATGTGAGATTATGGAAGTGTTCTGAAATATACCTGGTTGGGCTAGTGCGTATGTTTGAGCATGACAGCATGCGCCTACTTCAACCTCAACTCGTCCTCGAGAATGCGATCTCTGAAGTGGTGGGGACGGGGAGCCTCAAGTGAGGCCAATAACGTTTCAACTTCCATGGTTCGGCTCACGAAATTGCAGTCACTAGCAAGGCGGACTCTCGTGAAGGAGGTACTGTACCTCTTGGGAAGTCACGTGACTCTTTGACCAACTGTTTTTGATGGAGATAGCTTCAGGAAGAATCTGAGCGGCTCATGGATAGTTTTTCAAGAATCAAGAGAATATTCTCTGGGTGCATCGCAGGCACAGGCTATTAGAAAAGTCTCCACGAGTGTGGTGCCAGGCACCATCTTCTTCCGGCCAGATCATCCGACATTCCCATCTTGGGAACTTTCTTTCGCACTTTTTATTATCAGCTATTCACGATGCACATGAATCACACTTGGTCTTCAGGAGAGACAGCAGTGGGTGAAGTAATTTCAATTCTCTATTTTCTTGCCACAGCTGTCCGCTTTTGCCAGTCAAGCAAGAAGTACACAAAAACAGCGTGCAGAAGGAAAAGTGACGCAATCTCGGGCCCTCCCTGACGTCTCACAGGGTGTGGCCTCGAATTTCAATTTCGATAGCAAAGAGTGTATTGTTTATGCTTCTCCCGTTCAACGCAATCATCACAATCGTAAAAGCATTTCTTAACCGTAATTTGTGCATCATCGCAGAGGTAGAAGTTTCGTCTGTAGCATGGGGTAGTCCGAGCGAGGTGCTTGTGGCCACATTCGTCTGGAATAAGTTAGTAGTTTTCTTGAATTTTGGTAGAACGGGAATACATACAAACCCAAGCGATGCAAGTACACATGATGAATGTCTTCGCGTGGTTGTGTTTTCGAGTGGGGTGTTTCTGTGTCGTTGTGTGTTTTCGAGCTATGGTATTTTATGTATTGATCTACGAATCTGATTTAGTGAATAGGATGTCGAAGGAACCTTGTGGATGAACCTATACAGGAGTCGCAGTTGCTGTTTTGGCTGTGTCAAAGATCCTTGGCTTTGTCTGCTACAAGGGCATTGTCAACATAATCGACATACCATTTCAATCTGCCAACGAACAATGACGCGTGCTCACCTCCTTTGTTCATGCCTTATGCCCATTTCTGCCTCTGCGATGGTTGTTGGTCCGGCGATGTTCGGAGATGAGGTCAGAAATGACTAGACACTCCGAATGTCAATTCACTGAAGGCGGCCAAAAAGCTTTCCGATGGCAAACTCACTTGACCCAGTCTTAGCATCTTCATCTGAAGCAACGCCATCAGTCGCTGAATCTGTGTTATCTCCATTTCCACCCCTCGAGTTGACTGCAACCCATTTGATGGGGACCCAACTTCCGATGCCAGCTTCGCCTGTCCTTTGCTTCTCTGTGATCTGCCCAGCCTCTTTGGCGCTTTCGAGAAATTTCCACTTCTCGTAGGAAAAGGTTCCGTCCTCGTTCTCTACTCTTATTGGAGGGCTCGTAGACTCGCCGTATGGGAGATTTGGGGTTGGGAATCCGAGAAGCTTCGCTCCGGGGGCCGTCTCTTCTGGGGTTGCCACTGCTGTGCTGCCGCCGTCGGAGATTTCGGAATCTGTGTTCTTCTTGACTTCACGAATGGTCGTATTGATCGTGGTGGCTTCTCCAACTGCCTCCTTTAGCTTTGAATATGTTGCCTTCCTCTTTCGTTTTCCCTCGGCTTGCTTTTTGATGAAGGCTTTGCGATCTTTTGCCCGGCACAATTCACATTTGCCTTCGTAATCGGCAGCCCTGGAACAGATCAGCAATTCAGCAATCATTTGTTTTAGAGTAAACACAAAGCCAGGACGGCGATGCATTTTTTCTGGATGCACTGAAGCAAATTCCATGAGTCTTCGTCTTCGGGGGGAGGGAGCGAGGCCAAAGAGACGGAAAGCCAAGATTTTCTTACGAAATGCCTGGTTTATCGCAGCAACCCGGATTATTGAATTCGCAAGACACTCTCGTCATGACTACGGGTTCCAGTCAGCGGTGCTTCAAAAATCAATTCTGGGGGCCTACGCTTGTGTCCGCATCGAGGGAAAACGTCAACCACGAGGATACACATCTTGAATTGATGCTGATTATCCAAAAGGATTTAGCACGAGTTGAAATATTGCTGTGGCGATGTAATGTATCTCTGCGATGCTTGCGGTTAGCAAATTATGGGAATGATTGTGAGAATTGTTTGCATGTTCTTGCTTCCTCGATAGTTGGAGGCAAGTCTCTCGTGGAAGGCCCTCGTGTCACTCCTTCCTTCTCAACATCAACCGCCGTATTTCATATCGGGAAGTAGCGAATTGCGCCAAATGGCCGCTTTCTTCTCTGTAAATGCAGACTCCTTGGAGTCCTTTCAAACCCCACAGCCATCCATTGTTCGCCAGGAGAACAGGGGTAACGTAACAATGCGTTGGCATTCACCTTCTTTACGGCGTCACGATGAGAACAACATCGAGTGCCTATAAGTATTCAACACCTGACACGCTCGCAAAGCAGTCTTTTTCGCTCGTCTCACGCATCCATCTTCCTAGATTCTCTGTTCTGAAATACCTCCGTGTTCCACAAGCATCAAAACACTACAATCGAACCAAATTCTTCGAGAAGAGAGATAAATTACACGCTCAGCTCTCCGTTAAACATGGCATCCGAATCCACCTCCAGACTGCTCCGTCAGCGACTTATCGCTAATTCACTCAACTTTCATCTGAACGAAAGGGTGACAGCCAACGCTCCAAATGTAGGAGCAGGAGGACAAGTACTCCCACTTACCTTCAAGCAGTGGGCATCTGTCAACACCGAATCTAAAGATAACGACTTATCCGCAGAAGTTGCTTTAACCTTCGATATCGTTGACTACGAGATCTATCTCTCCGGGGAACAGCCCTTCAGCTTAATGTACGCCACTCGGTTTCGCCACCTTGTTAATGAACTTCGTCGAGGGGATCGAATCACTTTCGACTTCAGTGCCAACAGCGCCGATGTTCCTTCCTTCAAGGAGTGGACTGGCAGATCGCGAGAGAAATCGACGGGGCATCGCAATGCGGAGACAAGTGGCCATGAGCGTCATATCACCGCTATTGGGGCGTATGCTAAAATACCCAGCTAGTGGCCCAGCTTCCATGTCAGATTTATCAGCGACAGGAACGAAATAGCGAATATTCAGAGAATAATGCTTAATGATGGGTTTGGTGGACTCAGTGCATACATCGACTCTCTCGACAATATTCCCTCAGTCCCTGAGGAGGCCAAAACTCCTGATGCCGGCCCCCCTTCCCCTCCGTCCACTTGAGATAAGTGCCTTCAACGGTACTTCTCTTGCATCGCATTTTCTTAGAATAGACCGGATAGGATCAATAAATACACTCACCAATAACCCAACAATCTCCCAAATAATTTCAAACTGTATTCCGTGATTGACAGGTTGGCGGAATCTCGAAGCTTTCAAGTTTCTAACATGGGTTGAGCCTTGCAATTCTGACTGACTGAATCCATGTTGCATTTTTGCGCAATGCTCCCAAATCCTACGCATTCTTCAAGTCACGGCCTCGGGATCATGGGGTTGGGTTATTCTATGAGAAGATAACGGATGTCTTCCTCTTTACTTAGAACCGTTTTTGGGCCGAATATCATTATCTAAACTAAGATAGTCTTTTCTCTATCTCCCTGTTTCCTCGCCCCTGGGCTCGCAACACAGCCACAGGCAACAATCAAAGAAAAGAAATAACTGACAATCTTGGCCATACCAAAGACCCATTCGCTTCCTCCCACCTGGGCTCGCAACACAGCCACAGCTAGCAAACAATCAAAGAAAAGAAAAATAGACAATATAAGCACAAAGTCTGTGAAAAAGAACCGTACAAAGGCTGAAAAGGAAAATAATCCACTCTTCATCGCTGTCCTTGATGCTCCAGTAATCTCGCAGCATAATTCTTGTCACATCCCCAGTATTCTCATAAAACTCCCCAATATTCTCGAGAGTCAGTCTCCCACCAGACTGCTAATTTGTCCGTTCTGTTCTCTTCTCTAATTTGCTCTCATTTGTGCCCATAGGCCGGGTCCGTAATGGATTAGAGCCCCTGTAGCTGCGCTACCAACAAGATATATGCCGATTTTTGTTGGGGTATTGAAACTCTCGAACATAAAGTCAAAAATGGCCTTCGAGAGTTCCGAATCAGGTGGGGTAGGAGGCGGGGCGGTACCAGTCTGCTCGTCCTCGGTCCCAGATGGCGGGGGAGCATCAGCAGTCTTGGTTGATGTGGCGTGTTTTGTGGCGGAGGGGGCTGGAGGTATGATGACAGATGGAGGGGGAGGAGGGGGAGTGTAGTCCCATTCGCATTGGGTGGTGTCAAGGCCTTGATTTTCCGGCAGAGACCAGGGATCATGAGCAATTGTGGCTTGGTGAGGCAGCGGATCTGCGCTCAAGATCGTGGCCAAGATCGTAATGCCACCGAAAGCGGAGAGCAGGGCGAGAAATGCTACGAGTGCTCCAGACCAGAATGACAAACCTTTGGAGCTGCGTTGTCTATCAACTCGAGCATGGTTCTCCGCCGTTACTCCATTTTCTTGTTTCACAATTGGAATATCCTCCTGTTTCATCGTTCCAGGATATCCGTGCAAATTCTGATGCACTGTTGTTTGCAACGGTTCCGGGGATTCTTGAACCATAGGTTCGACTTTGATTTCCTTCTGAAGACCAACAGGTTCTATTTGAAATTGTCCAGTAGGTTCTGGAGCAACGGATTCAAGTGCGGGCTTCTTCCTCAAGTCAACATCTTGCACCTGGGATTGTTTTGGGAGTTCTTGCACAATCGGTTCGGTATCAGATGCCTTCTGCAAATCAACAGCTCCAATTTGCGATTGTTCGGGAGCCTCCCGCACCTGGAATTGTTTTGGGAGTTCCTGCACAATCGGTTCGGTATCAGATGCCTTCTGCAAATCAATAGCTCCGATTTGCGATTGCTCAGGAGCCTCATATCGGTAACGCCCTTTGCCGTAGCAGGATCTGGTGAGTTTTTCAATGTACCGAGCTTGGTTGCGTTGGATGAAAGTTATAGGACAATGCTCGCAGAGGGTGAACTCGTCGTTATTTTCGAAAGCGATACGCTTCCGCAAGGCCATTTCACAGATCTGCACGTATTCTGGCGAGGCTGCTCGGCCAAACAATGTGTTCTTGACATATCCTTTGCAACAGGAGATGGCCTTGCCTGCTCTTACACATTCGGAGCAATCCTTTCTTACTTCTACCAGCTGCAGGGTATATGCGCCCATGTTGCGCCAGAACTCAATATCTGGTTCAGGAATGAGAGGTTTTTCAAATCTGGGATGCCAGATCAGTCAGTGATTCGTCAATTCGTAAAGAGATATGCACTTACCTTGATTTTCCCTGTCCTCCAATTTGACCTCCATGGTTATTGCTCTGACCATTGCCGATGTGTGGAGCGGCAGCTCTAGGGCCAGGGGCTCGCGAGACCACGTTTTTGCCATATTGATTAGACTGGGTAGTAGGCGTCTGAATAGCCATGCCATACCCACCATTTGGTGCCGGTAAGCCATAGTTGGTTTCGGATGACTGTAGAGCGAAGGTTTGGCCGTGGCGCATGTGTGGAGCTTCGTTGTAATTGGTGGATTGATCATACATGCCAGTATTATCCTTGCGATTTCCGTTCTGGCGATCAATTAGGTACTGATTCTGATATTGTGGGAGTCGAGCTGGCGACATGTATTGAATCTGTTGAGGCAGATTCTGAGCGGCTGGCGAGTACTGGGAGTGGGCATAGGCGACCTGAGGAGGAGGAGTGCGTTTGAGTTGGAGGTGGGGAGCCTGAGCTATAGGTTGGGTATGAAAGTGAGGCGAGGCGATCTCCTGTTGTCCATGCCATTGCGCGTTGAAGTTTTCCTTGGTCACTATTGTACCGCCGTACGCCTGTTGGTTCAGATTCGGTTCTCCATCCCAATATTTGTTCGCGGCTTGCCCAATCGTGATTGCTCCACCGTACGCCGGTTGATTTGGATTCTGTCCTCCGATTATGTCAGGGACCCAGAGAGGGCTCGGTGTGTTATATTGAGGTTGTTGCATGGCTTTGGAATCAGATTGGACGTATTGTTTGTCACTTCTGTTAGAAGTTGACTGGTCACCAACGTCCTGTTTCTGAGGGGAGGTGCTACGGCACTCTTGTGCCCATCTGCTATACTGTTAGCTCAAAGAAGCATCACGGGTACTGAAGAAGCTGCATACATGGACCGCTTAAGACCTGGAGCTGGCTCTCCTGTGTTTGAATCCATTGTCAAAGAAGCAGCTGAAACAAACGCTGGAGCTGTTGACCACGTTGTACTGAGCTAGTGGGGACAATTGAAGTGCTGAAGGTCGATGATGGAGGAGGTTCAAGGAGGGAAGGGTTTGCGACCGGCGAGGTCATTTACGTTTTGGCCCGAAGGATTTTAATTTACCGAGCCTCAATCTAAATTCACCTTTAGGTGGGAGAGTGAATTTGCAAGATGGTGGTCAATGTCAAAGGTGACGCGCCCTCGCTTAGCTTATTTACTCGCCCCTATCTGCACAACTCACTTTACAACAATCAGTTGCAACGCTCAGGACTCGATTGTACCAGCTCCTTGGGGAATAATGCTCTTGTAATATCCGACAAAGATTACTTTTGGATTGTTCCACTTACGAGAAAGATATTAACAATCGCAGTTGCCAAGAGAGGCGATAATGATAATAATGATAATGATTATTATTTTCGTCCGGGAAAGCTAGAAGAAACTAGCTTTCCTCTAAACCTCCCATGGGGTATGGGGACGTACTGAGCTTATAGGATATTTATATACAGAGTCCTGCTTATAAAAAAAAGCCAAAAACCACGAGGGGTAAAAGATGTCCTCTATAAGCAGCCCCGGGTCCCTAATCTCGCAATGTTTCAGTGCTCCCGTAGACCTTATAGAAAGCATTTCTAGTATAAGCGAACGTGCCAAAGGCTTGTAATTACCCACCTCCCCGGCTATTTAGGGTGGCAATTAGATTCTATTCGGAGTACCTCAGGTAGCCTAAAGCTCCCTTAGACAAGTGCATTAACGCCATACGAAGGTGTAATACCAAGTCTCCTCTACTTCTCCCCCTTCTCCCTTCCCACGATCTCTCCCTCGTATTTGCCACGTTGCATTATCAGGCCTGCCTTTGCAGGAGGATTCCTTCACTATATAGCCCCCTCAAGAGAGTAGGCAAATCGAGTAGGCCACGGTGTCCACCCCGATTTCCCTCCACAATATATATAGAACGAGTTGTGCCGTCGCGTTTCGAGGAGAAGAAGGAGGAGAAGTCGTAGAAGATCGTCGATAAGGGAAAATCTCTTCGTGTAACGCTATGCGAGCGTTCGAAAGAAGCATCGCTTTCACAGCGTATCGGCAGTTGACTCAATCTTGACCCTATGCTCCAGAGAGCATAGGTTGACAGCTTGCACCACGAGGAGGTGTTGAGTCGTCGCAGGCCTTGCCAAGAGAGGCGGGGCTACGAAAGGAGGAGAAAGTAAATGAACTAAGGACGGCCGCTCACCTTCATCATCGACTACTACATTAGGGGAATTCACTTGAAGCCTTGAAAGCAAAATTAAATTGAAGCTCTCTAATTCCCAAGGCTGCACACGCAAAGCATTTGAGATCGAACTCCGTCGCGAAAATTCTTGAAACCTTCAACCTTCCTCCAACCTCGATTATCCACCACCACAACAACTCCCATCTCTCGCACCTACCTTTCCATTGCTCCTCTCCGATTCAGTAAAACGAAAGACTACAACGCCGGACTTTGTCTAAAAGCGTCTAGAATAATGGCTGCCAGAAGCTACGGAAGAAATTGGGGTCCACCGATGGGACGAGAAATTCCAGCCACCATTATATGCGAATTCGCTGTAATTACTAGGTCAGACGGTTTAGATGACAAGTGCTCGCTTTCGGATTTTATTTAAACACACGCAAACCCTCGTATGCAATAAAGTTTACACCAGCATCCTAATCAAATTCCTAGGCCAAATGAAGTGTTCCGAATCTTTCTTCAATTTCATCTCCAGTTATCCTCTCACCTTCGGCAAGTTTAATAGTCTGTCCAGACTTGCTCGTGCACTTCACTTCCACTGCACTAGGTCGTAGAATACTCGAGTTTCTTTAATTGATGTATTATTTCTATTTCTATTTTATGAGAATAAATTGATTAGGAAAAGAAGAAATGAAAGAAGTATATCTCAGTAAAGTACTAAGATAATACTATATACTCTTGCAATAGCCAATGGTTCATTGGATCGACATCGTAAGGCTCAGATAGAAACACCTCAAAACCTAATTTGTTCAGCACTCTCTCACTCCTGGGGTTACTCTTGTGTACAGAAGCGATCACTCGCTCTCTTGCCTGAGATGTTTCCCTTCTATCGAGAGTGCTGGGGGCTACTTCAAAGCTTACTTGCTGGCGAGGTAGACTCCACCAAAATCGCATAAAGGCATGCCCAAATTCAGTTGCGTAACCCCTGGACCAGTGCTCCTGCTTGAAGCGGTAAGCGAATTCGAACCAGTTTCTTGGGACTCCGTTGTCGTCGGCACGCCTAAACATTCCACCATCACCGATGAGCTCGCCTTCGCTGCCATTAGGGTTCCTTAGAAAGATTCCTAAAAGGAGATCTGTGGTGAATGGTGGCAACACGCGTTGGAGTTCTTGCTGAGACTCGGCAGGGTCCATGATCGGCTCCCCTTCCATAGCTCCTGGATCCCTCAGTAGGGTACGATATGCATCAAGATCCGATAAATGGAATGCTCGTGTGATAAGGCGGTCGGTGGTAATAGGTAGAGGTAGATAGCCCTCAGTATTAGGACAGGTTGTCCAGACAGTAGCCATTGTGTAGGATTAAGTTGTGATTGCTGGTCAGGATTAATGGTAATTGGTTGCTGCTTCTGTGCGCTGAGTAATAATAAGAGTGGTAAGAGGAATGGGTCGATTGTGAATGTGTGATTGATGATGATTGAGCGAACTGGCTAAGTAGTAGGTTTTCGTACTGTTCAGTTTCTTTCTTCTGCTGATGATAATAAACTACCTCGGCGCTTGAAATGACTGATCTTTATCTTCTTTGAAGCCAGAGTATGAGTCTTTCTTTTGGTAGGTCTAAACTTTGTAGATAATCGTCTCAATATTTTACCTCGTCAGATAAATAAAACGTTCTTTCGAGGGGATTCTTATTTTAACAAAGCCCATTGCTTTTGATTCTCGATCAATGGCAACAGAAAGCAGTCATTACTTAATTAGCTCTCCTTTTCATAAAGAACACGTCTTCCATTCCTTTGTCTCCAGACAATGACATTGTGTGCCTGTTGTCTGTTTTCTCGACTACTCAATACCTTGAGGATAGTATGAACAGACCACTTTTCATCTTCGAACAGAGAAACTCACATGTATAAATATTTGAGGAAGTTAAGGCTCAATAATAGGTCAGAGAAAGGTATTTTCTGCCCGCCATTATGACTCAGCAAGCAGACAAAACTTACTATCCTTGTTGCGGGGCTTGGGAGGGAGATATGGTACCATTCAGTTTTGGAGAATGGCAGGCGTTCAACGGAGTCCTTGTGAATAACATTGGGCCCACACACGAAGAGGCACTCGAGGTTGATATCCATCGTTTCTATGCCTATCTTCTCCAGGGCACGTTCTCCAAATACTACTATGAGTACTTTCGCGACCATGTAGATAAAATTTTCTCCAATTTCCGTGAAGAATTTGACTTTCTTCCTGCCAACCCTCGTCTCGGCTTCTTTTTCTTTAAGGAGTGGACTCGCAGAACTACAGAGTGGTACAAGGAGTATCGCTATCCAGGCTTGACTGTACATGAGTTGCATCTCAAGCTCGTAGACGAGTACATTAAGGGACCCTTGTCGCTCTCCCCCGAGGACCTCGAAAGCTTCAGAGAGCGTCGAGGAATGCGTGCGAAAGTTATCAGATACGATCTGGTATCCGAACAGTGGACCAGATTTGGTCTCTGCACACAAAGCCACTGAAGCTACTAAGCAATATATCCTTTTCCATTTAACGTATTATTATCGCATTAGTAGACACAAAGAATGAAAATTACTCCAAACATAACCTAAACTATAATCTCGTTGGCACGTGAGTTGAGAGAGACACCACACAGTAAAAGGCTAGTGATGTATGTGGTTGGCTCTATCAATGCGATTGCACTGCCAAAGTTCATCCTGAGGAACTTGTACTCCACTCCCCGTGTTTCTCTTCTCTTCCCAGAAAATACTAAATCTCTATGCTAAGGTTGGTTCACTTGAGGAGTAGCATGATGTCAACCAAAGCACAAAAGCACAAGCGTAAGTGATAAGGTAGAGGGCGGATTGGAACACAAATGGCAGGGTGCGGACATGATAGAAGGCAGTAAAAAGACCCCTAATTATCACATTTATCTGTTTCCGCGAATAGCTTGATTTTTGTATACGCTGTACCCTAGCCATTCTTTGTCGAAGGTCACAGAATAGAACGAGACGAGTGAGGGCTTGAGAATTCTTTGTCAACCCTGACCTTTTTCATTGGAACAATCTCTTCTTCCCAAAACAACTGCTTTGTGACTCTTTGTTTGTCTCTTGCTCTTCAAGGACAATATTGATAAGGTTGATTTATCTCGTCAAACAGCGCGATTGCCATGTTTAAAAGCACAGCTAATAGTACCTTGTGGCTTACTCCTCGCCAGCATCGGATATTTCCACACGCGACTGCGCTACACTTTCTTGATACGAGAACTCAACCTTCAACAAGCAAGAAAGAATAATTCAGTACTCCTACCAACCTCAACAATGGTCGGCCTCTCAGGTTCTCGGTGGGCATCCAAAGATCAACAGATCAACGCTTCAGCCAATAAATCAACAGCGGCTGAAGCGCGGCTCGAAGAACTCCTAAACGAGCAAAACGAGCAGAAGAATTCCCCTGTCCCAAAAGGAATCCTGAATCCGCAAGCAGAAACTTTCTCGTGCAGTAGAAGAGAAGGTGGTGAGCAGATCCCAATGACATTTGATGAATGGGCTGTACAGAACTCTCCCGAGTCCATGTTCGGAGGTCGTCTCCCATCGGAGGAAGGCCTCGATGGAGATATCATGAAATACACGGAGTACCTTCTCTGGGAGCATTTTCCAGTAAGATACGGCGTCGCATTTTCCAATCACATTGCCAATAAACATGCCGAGGAGTTAGCCAACTTTGACTACCAGACTACACACCCCTCCATGGGGTTCCTGTCTTTTAAAGAATGGGCCTGGAGGACTCGATTGTGGTACAAGCGGAGCCAATTCCCAGAACTGGATGACTATCAGCTCTATCGAGCCATGGTAATACAGTATGAACAAGGCCCTCTGCAGCAGTCTGCTGTGGATTACTCAAATTTCAAGAAACTCCGAGAACACCGGGCAACCTTCACCAGAATCAACCTGGAATACGATGCTCACTGGTCTTCACTTGGTGTCTGGGGAAGGCCACGCACTTCCTCGCACTGAATTCAACACGACCACGTCATTCGATATGAAAAATACAAAAACATGAACCCCAGCACAAAACTCAAGGTGCGGTATGTAATTGAACAACCATTAAAGAGTGAGTGAAAATGCTTACGGAGTAGAAGAAGACAAGAAAGGAATGACAGGAAATTTAGTCTCGGACCGCTTATTCTATGCGTAAGGTAAAATGAACGCTGCCAGTTGAAGACGAATACACTCAGGAGCTGCTGTTACAACAATGGAGGACAGTCTGAGCTTCCTTTCCCTAAGTGCTCGACTCCTTTCACAAACCCAGTAATCCGAGTTTTTTTGTTCTCTAATTTTTTGTTCACCCAGTACAAAGAGCTTTCTTAGATGAACAACGTTTGTTCAAATATAAATATAACCCCAGCTTCGATATCCTCGCTGTCCTCTCAGAGCTACTTAATACTGTTCATTACTTTCCATTCTTCGAATTCAACCAACTCAGTTACTATCCACACCTAACGATCATCCAATACCCGACGCAACTTGAAGGATCTGCAAGATGTGTTTTGGCACCACCACCATATGTGAGAGGTGCCAGCGTCCAACAGTCTACCTCCTTCCCGGTATCCATCGTTGCAGCACTCGCTGTAAAGCCTCACACACCATCACCGGTCCCACCAGCACCACACACTCCTGTTGGGCATGCCGGCCAACAATCCCTGGATCTGTCGACGAGGTCAAAGAAGTATTATTCTGGAACCACTACGCCGACACCTTCATCGGCTATGCCGACAGCCTGGAGGAATCAAAAGCCCTTCTCGCCGCTCTCACATCCGAGATCGAGGAAGCGTCGGACGAGGATGTGAAGAGGGAATTAGAAGTGCTCAAGCGCGCTGAAGAGCTCAGGACTCGAGAATTTGAAGCTGCTACCGATCGCTTCACTGAATGGAAAAAGGAAGGAAACTTACCCATCCACGTGATCACTCCGCCGCCGGTCGGCGAAGCAAAGCCACTGACATTCAAAGAGTGGGCATCAAAATTCGGCGTCGAAGCGAGGGACTTCGATAGCAAAGAGGATCTCACGGCCTGGGAAGCACTGGAATTCCACGATTGTGATGGCTACGAGCTGTATCTCGAAGAGAATGACTTCGAGTATGAGCTCGATTTATTTCGAGCACGGAATGACTCGCTTCGCTATATTGACCGACTGTTCTTTGATTTCGACCCAAGCAAGCTTCAAGCCCATGACCCGCAGGCAGAGGAGACTGAAGGGCTATTGAGCTGGAGAATCTGGATGAGAAAGGAGAGATTGGGGGCCATCAAGTGGAGTGAGGAGAGGATGAAAGCAAAGTCTACGGCGGAGAGATTTGAGCGCGATCTTAACTTGTACGCTGTCTACTTGGAAGATGCATCAAATTACTGGTCAAAGGTTTTTACCTATTTCCGAACGAAGGACACTTTGACTCGCAGAAGACGTCTCAATGAGGGACACCATTTGATATGGGATCCTGATAGGGCCGAAGGGGAAATTGAAACCACAGAAGTTCCACCTACCGCCAATGACGAGGAGTACACTGGTCGGGTACAATGGTTGAGAGCTGCGAGCCGCTGTAGACACCCAAGCAATGGTGAAGAGGCTAAAGAAGAAATCAAAGAAGCAAATGTCAAAGAAGCAGATGCCGACGACGAAGACGGACCCATAGTCATGACCTTCGCGGAATGGTGTGCGTCTCCCCTGGTACCACAAGATGGCGAACAAAACAAGAACACAGATGCAGCACTACGTGCAGATCTCAAAGGATACGCCAACTATTGCTCCACCTTCCCACACCCAATGCCGGAAGAATACTGCGCAGTTCGACGCCGCCTCGATCGCTTCCGCGCGGAGACCTTCAACTACACGCCTCCCTGCCAGTCTACCGAGCAAATTGGACAAACGGAAATGAAATGGCCCTGCGGTTTGTCAGACTTTCGCCACGGTCTCACAGCGAGAGGCTTTAAGCCAAGCATGAACTCTGGGTGGGTCGAGGATACTTACGTGCTCTACCTAGACATGTTTGCCGAGAAGGAAACAGTAGGAGGCTTCGCCCAAAGTCGAGACTGGTGGGCTCGCGATGACCGCCGTGAGCTCGAAGGTCTCCCTCGCTGCGATCCACTCACAACTAAAATCACATCCGTGATGCAACTACTGGTACAATACATCGTTTCTATGGAAGATCCCGCATCTCGACTTGCAGTTGAGGCATGTCTCTCCCCCGTGCTCTTGATGTTGGATTCCTGCATGGAAGAGCATCGAGAGCTGATGACTGAGCAGTGGGAATACATACGCGCTACGTACCATCACGCTGAAGCTATGGCTGCGGTTGTTAGGACGAGGGAGCAGAGGCTTGCCAGATTCTCTGACCAATCGCACGTCACATCGCAACACACTGGTGTAGTTGAGTCCACAAGAGCGAGATTGCCGCAGACTCTTATATCCGCTGAGGGCTACTATGCGGATAACGACAGCGAGACCGACAGTGAAGACGAAGATGGTCAATTTTACAGCCCGGTCATCCACTCACCATACATCCCAGATCTCGACTCTGATGATGAAGGCTCCTCTGATGCTGACGATGCGGGACCTGAATTCTCGATGATCTGGGGTTTGGCAGCGTTGACAGATGACGTTGAGACTGATGAAGATGAACAGAGGTTGTTGATGAACTTCTAATGAGGTGAGAATAGGTGGTTCTGATGGTGTTCGGTGGCCTTGTCTCTCTTCCTTTTCACTTTGCGTGTACTTTTCATACTCGAGACAAATAGTAAACCAAATAGAGAAAATCCCCCAAAACTTACTTGAAAATAATGAGATGTACAATGTGACAGTAGATTGAACTGAGACACGTATTTCAAAATCCAATTTCGGATCATTTCCGATCCTGAATGAGAGCACAGCGTTTCAAGCCTCGACTAGAAGCCCCGGCTAGGATTCAAGGTCTTTAATGGTTCAAAGTAATCCTACATTTTAGGCAATCCTAATATGAACAGTGCTGTTGGCCTGGCCCAAATCATGGAATGAATAGAAGAACCGCTGCCCCAAAAATCGCTCACTGAACAACCTGCAACAAGAATATAACACTTCTCCCATAATACTTCACGGCACCTTTCTCCTGCCACACCATAAATCCCCATCGAGACATCTAATTTAGTTCAGGAAAGTACTGCGCGATCTTCAATGGATCACCATACGATGCCCGTAGAGGTGGCGAATCCGGTTCTGGATCTTCTTGCATTATTTGGGGAGGGGTATGGCTGGAAAGTGATTTTCGCTTCTTCTTGGTATTTCTTAATTCTTGTGGTCTTGTAGGATCTCGAGCGCTGGCTGTCAGGTTTGAGCCGACGTTTCGGAGTTCATTGAGTGGTGTATTCTCTTGAGTAGGTGATAGCATTGGTGATGCGGAAGGTGCGGATCGCATGGCAGGGACAAGGCTACTTGCTAAGCTCTCGTGGAGACTTGACGAGACCTTGGATTTCGGGGGTTTGCCGTTCGTGACGCCGGGAGTGGTTGGGGCGGCACCCTTTTCATTCGTGACAAGGCCTTTGTCTTGGACGAGCTTGGATGACCGCTTGTGATAAGGATTGTAGTTGTAGTATTCGTCGATTATTGGGTGAACCATGACCGTTTGTTTGTGAATTGTGAGGATGGAATTAGTGGGGACGGTAACCCACGTTTCTAACAGATGTTAGAGAGTGATAAGTAATGCAAAATGACGCCCTACCTCGCTCGAATGTCAAAGGCTCGCTCGCAACCAAGACGATATCTGCACCTTTATCTTTCCGATCCATCTGAAACTCGCCCTTCTGACTCTTGTCCTCCCAGCTTGTGCCCGATGAGTAGTACAAGCTTGCTGCCTCATCCGTTTTGCTACGAACATACCGTGTGCAAACGACACTATGCCCATCGGTGACCGCAAAATTCAGCAAACTTCTGGTATCTACTTGCTCCTGCTCAATCACTTTCGAAGGGATTGCTGCGATGAAATCGTTGGTTCGTTTGATTGTCTCTAGCATGGCTTGACGTAAAACGGTGGGACCAAAACCGGTTGGAGGGGGAGAGCTTGGATCGTGGCCCATTCGCTCAAGTGTGTCGAGGAACAGAGCAAAAGCCCATTCGCTGTCCGTTCCTCCCTGCACCGAAAGGTACCACTTGTCTCCTAGTGACTCCCCCAAACGCCGCTTGATATATTTCCAGCCTCCCAAGCCACCATTATGCATCCACATCAAGCTTCCATGGCAGAAAGGATGGCAGTTATCATCGCTCAGAGAGCCTTCAGTCGTCGCGCGGACGTGGGCAAAGATAAGATGTGATGCAGTCTTCGAGGCGATTCGTTGCAGATTGACGCAGTTCCAAGCAGGTATTGTGGAGGTGAAGATGCAAGGATCGGGGCCCAGTTTGGGTTCGGTATAGTATCCAATTCCAAAGCCATCGCCTGGGGAGAGGTCAGCGGGAGTCACGCATGGTCAGTGAGGTTTGCGTACCATTGTGCGGCCGTCTCATGTCCAAACGAAGCCTTGAGTCGAAGGATTGAATGAGGATGGAATGGGCAGGATCCAGAATCAACCTTGAAAGCAAGATCTCGTCCGAGCCTTTGTAAACCTGCGAGCTGTTAGAGCTTACGTGGAGCGGTCAACCCCGGCTCTTACAAGAAACCGACACATCTTCGCAATTGAGCAACCTTCACGTTCTGAACCAAATGCAAGAGGTAGACAAGGAAGCCGAGTAGCTTCGATGCGAGCTCATGAGGAAGTGATGGGTCGAGAGTGATAGCTCATGGAGTTGTTGGCGCTGAGTCAATCATTGAATACGAATCCAGGGGAGGCGAGGCTGAAGGACCTGGATGGCGCAATCCTGGCCATCAGGATAAAAAAGGGAAAATCGCAAAGAGGGACACCCGAAAAGGGGGGTACAGAAGCAACAAGTTTGTATCCAAGTATGCAGCGACAATTACACGTAGAGAAGAGAATTAATACACTGCCAACTCATTGTGTTCCCACTGTTTGCTCAAGGCTGTTGATCGTCCGATGTCAGAATGGCCGCTAGACTCCACTCTGCGCATGAATCACCAGCCACACTCTCATGCACGCCACTTTCAAGATTCTTGACTCGCAGCCATAGGAAACCCGCATCTGTCAGTATCAACAACCACTGCAGCCTGTGAATCGAATTCCATGAATACCAAAGATCCAACACATATATTGCTTCCACTATACGCCTGGCCACTATGAGCGGGCGGCTCTTGTCAGCCAGGCTTCAGCCTCTGGCACGTCGAGCCAACACACAAGCAGCGCGTCACTTCCATCACCACACGACCTCCTCCGCCGGCGGCCTCCTTAGATCAGATTCTGCTGTCCGAGCAGCGCGCAGAAGGATATGGCCTGCTGGGTACACGCCATTCTCTAATGTAGTGGCGGTGCGGAATGCTTCTTTCGCACGAATACTGCCCAAGTTGCTCCTGAAGTTTGCCAGGATACCAGCACTTTTTGGTGGAGCAACAATTGCTGGTTTAGCATATGTACAATACCAGGCTACTCGTTCGTCATTCAATGTACGGATGCTGGGGGATAAAGGCTAACATTCTCCAGAGGCGGGAAACTATGTTGCTGGTGTGTTCAATAAAACGACGGAGACAGTGACAGGTGTAGCTGGTGGACTATTCGGAAACGCGAAAGAGATCGTGGACCAAACACGGCGAGGATGGGAGAATACAAAGGATCAGGTCGAATTGCCGGATTGGATGCAGAAGATATTACGAATTCACGAAGAAATTGGTGAAGGGAAGGGCAGCACAGGTGGTGAAGGGGGCCCAGGAGGAGAGCAGCCGAAACAAAGTAGGATGGGAGCTGCTGCTGTAGGAGGCACCGCTGCCGCATATGGGTACGAGCAATCGACGGAGGAGGACACCCGAAGTGGAGAGGAGGTTGCTCGAGACGACCAGATGATGGTTTTAACCAAGAAGATGATTGAGATTCGGACTATATTGCAGACTGTTGGGCAGTCCAATGCTTTGACCTTGCCATCAATTGTGGTCATTGGATCTCAATCATCGGGAAAGAGTTCGGTACTGGAAGCTATTGTTGGACATGAATTCCTCCCAAAGGGGTCGAATATGGTTACACGGCGGCCCATCGAATTGACTCTCGTCAATACCCCTGATGCCCAAGCCGAGTATGGAGAATTTCCAGCGCTTGGTCTGGGAAAGATCACAGACTTTTCCCACATCCAAAGGACGTTGACTGAGCTCAACTTGGCTGTCCCAGACTCAGAATGCGTCTCAGACGATCCCATTCAGCTCACAATTTCGTCTCCTCATGTCCCAGATCTATCACTGATAGATTTACCTGGATATATCCAAGTTGTGGGACACGATCAGCCAGCAGAGCTAAAGCAGAAGATTTCTGATCTCTGTGACAAATATATTCAGCCTCCGAATGTGATCCTGGCAATCTCAGCGGCGGATGTGGATCTGGCAAACTCCACAGCTCTTCGAGCAAGCCGAAGAGTCGATCCAAGAGGAGAACGAACCATTGGCGTCGTCACGAAGATGGACCTTGTTGACGCCCCAAGGGGAGCGTCCATCCTCAATGATCGAAAATATCCATTACGGCTGGGCTATGTTGGTGTGGTGTCACGAGTACCACCTCAAGCTTCAAGCCTATTTAAGAGAGGGAATGGCAATATTGCCACTGCTATCTCTAAGAACGAGCATGCTTATTTCTCTGCGCACCCGCTTGAATTTGGCCCTGAAGCTGGAGTCAATGTAGGGACAACTACACTTCGGAAGAAATTGATGCACGTGCTTGAGCAAACCATGGCGGCCAGTCTTCAAAGCACAGGCGATGCCATCCGGCAAGAACTCGAGGAAGCTACTTACGAGTTCAAGGTCCAGTACAACGACCGACCCTTGTCGGCAGAGTCATATCTGGCTGAAAGCTTGGATTCCTTCAAGCACTCGTTCAAGGAATTCACAGAGAACTTTGGGCGACCTCAAGTTCGAGAATTGTTGAAAGAAGAGCTGGATCAAAAGGTTCTGGATCTTCTGGCCTCGCGATACTGGAACAAGCCAGTCACGAATCTCTCACCACCTCCTCCCGAGCCGGACTCTCTCGCCGATCTGCCCACTGCTGACCCAGAATCCCTCTACTGGCACCGCAAGCTCGATGCCTCAACCTCTGCTCTCACAAAATTGGGCATTGGCCGTCTAGCAACAACAGTAGTCGCAAACGCAATCCAGGCACACGTTGACCGGCTCATCGCTCAAAGCACCTTCGCCTCACATCCCTTCGCCCGACAAGCTATCACCGATGCTGCATCCGGAATTCTCAACGAGCGCTTCTATAGCACTTCCGACCAAGTAGAAAACTGCATCAAGCCCTATAAATTTGAAATCGATGTCGAAGACGGGGAATGGACTCGAGGCCGCGAAAGCGTGGCTGGTGTATTGAAGAAAGAGTTGAAGGATTGCGAGGACGCGGTAAAGGCTGTAGAGAAGAATGTCGGCGGGAAGAGGAAGTTGAAAGATGTAATGGGTTTTGTGGATAAGGCGAGGAACGGAGAGGTTGAGGTGGTGGGTGATGGAGCGAGTGGCGCTGGGGGCTTCTCCTCTGACTTGCTGCAAAGAGGTATGTCTATGTCTCTTCCCCTCCCTCTTTTCCGGTCCCGACCTTGAAAATGAAATTTACTGACCGAACGATGCAAAGGCAAAGAAGCAGTCTTCCTCCGTGACCGCGCCCAACTCCTGCGCCTCCGCCTCTCCGCCCTCAAATCCCCACCGTGCAACACCTCCCACCCCAATGCAAACCCGAACGCCAAATACGCTTGTCCCGAAATCTTCCTGGACGTGGTCTCCACGAAACTCACTTCCACCGCCGTGCTATTCCTGAACGTTGAGCTTCTTTCAGAATTTTTCTATCAGTTCCCACGGGAGTTGGATGTTAGGCTGGGGAGAGGACTGAGTAAAGAGGAGGTGGAGAGGTTCGCGAAAGAGGACCCGAGGGTTAGAGGCCACTTGGAGGTTATTAGACGGAAGGAGTTACTTCAGCTTGTGTTGGAGAAGATGGAGGGGTTGAGGGAATTGAATGTTGAGGAACGGGGGAGGAGGAAGGTTGAGAAGGAGAAGGGGAGGAAGGGGGGATGGAGTTTGTTTTGATTGAATGGAAAAGGGGGTTTAATGAGATACGGCACAACAAGGTGGTAGGCGTTCGGCTCGAGGTATCACTGCTTTCAATTCCCCACTTCAGTTCGGTCAAAGGTAGATGTAGATTGTGCTTTTCAGCGATTGGATGGGTTATGAGATATGAAATTGTATGATACACCCAATTTCACATTTCCCCTCTCTCCCTCTCTTGCGTCTTGTGGGACCAGATCAGTCTGGAGCAATTGGACATGACATATTGCCAGTGATCGTCGATATTCTGTTACAGTTTGTGCATCAGATCTGCGAGGCATATAAAATTGGGCCGTCGTTCTAAGTTCAAGAGGCAGACAGTCCAACATAGATGACGCTACCTATCAAATGTCACCTCTAGTCCCTCGATTTGCCCCTCCTGGTCCCCGACTAAGACCCTCCATGTTCTCGTCCTTGAAACAGATTACCACTAGCCCCTCCTATGACTTGGAACTGTCGCCCCCTGGGCTTCTTGTAGTCAATTCCAAATCCAAACCAATGCAGGTTGAAAGGTGAGGGTGAGAGTTTATTGACAGTAATATCCAGTCTTCGCATAACGAGGATTCTATTTCTGTTATCGAGTTCTTACGGAGAAAACACGAAACCACGATCCCTGCAGGACGGGTTACCAGGAACAAAGCATGGTCGTTTTCTCCCCAGTTGACGATAACATGAGGTTATGCACTGTTGATTCCAATTGCTAGATATGGAAATCTGGGGTTGTTGTAAAATGAAATTTTTGCCGTACTTGTAGACTTAAAGAAAGCCTAAAAGAACTAACCCCACCTCCCCCAAACCGGGATAGACAACAGGACTGAGCTTATACCCTGTACTGTACACAGGGTATACCCAAGCTAAGAGCGTACTCATTCACCTCCCCCCCCCCCCCCCCCCCCCCCAAAAAAGCGAGCATCCCAGTCCCCCCAAATGCCATGGCACCATCACGACTCAAGTCAAGACACTGCCAAATTACACCTCCACGTCCTACATTATGATACACCAGCAAAAACTAAGCCTAATTGAGACGGGCCATGCTTAGTGTTCGTCGGAGGTAGTATTTTTTTGTCAGTGGCTTGGGATGAGAAGGAAATCGGAGGAATGGGAAGAAGTTCCACTCGACTTCATGGCAGTAAGAGATCAAAGAAAGCGAATCGAGGGAAATTTGTACGTCGTGTTTCTCAAACGCTCTGTGTATTGCTTTCATGCACCAATCCTCCATAACGCCATGATCATGCAATGCAATGTATGTTGTACCACCATCTCGCCAGAAATGCATTATCAACCATCCCCCCGAATCCATCATATACAGGAATCGAACATAGTCCAACATATCATACATCCATCATCGTTCAATCGTAAACTGGATCGTAACCTCCCACTTCATGCTCGCGCCTTTGCCATATCCACCACCGAGTCGATTCTTAATCAGATAGCTGAGGCGCTCTCGGAGTTTCTGGAGAGACACATCATCACCACGCACCCGTAGCTTCAGGTTCGCCATGCAGAGGCCGTAATGTACCTGCCAGAACCGCGCTTCCTCAATGTGTAGTATCATCGGTTCCTTGTTGACTTCGTACATGACTTCGCCGACGCCTTTTCCGGAGTACGACATGAGAAGCATGAGGCCTTGAGCGATAGCCAGGCGGACGCCAAGGAAGAACATCGAGATCGCGATAAGGGTGCAAAGGAGGCGGTCGAGCCAGATATATAGCGTAATTGTTAGGAGGGGAAGGAGCAGCATGATTGTGCTGCAAGAGAGCGTGAGGAAATGTGAGGGGTTCGACAGGATACTTGGAAGGGAGGCGATGTATGCGAAGCGCATTGTTTTGCCTATTCTTGCGTGGTTTTTCAGACCGTATGCTGAAGTTAGTGTTGCAACTATTGACAGTAGAGCTGCTGAGTCGACGGAGCCCGGTGATACACGCTGGTGTGAGTGCGGGTGGTGCGCTTCATGCCCACCCAGTCCTTCCAGCATATGCTTCAGATTGTGTGATATGAGGTCGAAGCCCATGAAGAGCAAGAAAACGGACATGGCGAAGCCAGCTAGAACTTCAGCTCGCTGTAGACCGAAGGGGTGTCGAATCGAGGACCGTTTCCAAACTTCGAAATTGCAGAGCACGTCAACAGCCACGCAAATTGTGGCAGATACGGCGTCGAAGAAGATGAGATGGGAGAGAGCGGTGAGAGCGAGAGACCCGGCTGCAGAGTACAAAACGTACATCGCTACGAGAGCGTGACAAGCACACCAGGCCATCCGTCTTGTTTGTTCCTTCGACCTGCTCGTCCACGCCTCTTTCAAGGTAGGAATTGGCAGAGAGGCGGGGAGTGCAAGCGGCGCTCGAGGTGGTGGTTCGGTGAAGATCTGGTGTTGCGTGCTGACGCTGCTGTGTTTGTATCTGTGGCCACGCCGCTTGCCAATATTCTTTTCGTTTGTGTTAGCATTCAAAAGCTTGATTCTGTCACCTGAAGTAAACAGATTGCTGTCCCATACTGAGTTTGACATTGCTGGCGAGTCTTTGATGGATTGCGTCTGGAAGTTAAAGGGTCCCCGTTGCCCTCCTGGCGGAGGTGGGGGTGCCATCAATCCATCGCTACCCAAGGAGGGAGTGCTCAAGCCTGCAGACGATGGCATTGGTGAAGCCATAGATCCAAAGCGCCCTGGGAACGTATCCATCACCGGTGACAACGCATTGGAGTCGAACGTGATTGTCGAGCGCACCGTGTGCCCAGTGCCACCAATTCCAAGGCCTTCGTCGGGCTCCTCGGGGATAGGTGTCGGGGGAGTTGGCGTCCGTGGTGGAGCTGGAATTGGTAGGCTCGACGCCATCGCAGCTGTCTGTTGGCCTCAAGAGGCTCAACTCAAGAGGGCATAAAGAGTTCCGCGGAGGACAAAGACAGCTTGTGAATGAAGACTGGGGAGATCGGGAGAGATTGACGTCCTCGAGGGGCAGATGTGGTGCTGTTGACGTTGCGGGAAGCTGCATTAGCGTGCGACTATTTCCCGAAGTGGCCAGGTACGCGATTACCAGGCCAGCGAACTTTAATACGATCTCACTCCTTTCCCTCCTCTCCTTTCTTCAACATCATCGCCAACTCTCCACCAACCTCTTCCAAATATCCTCCCAGGCTGTTGAGATATCAGCAATCTACCTCAGAAGAATACTGGGCTGGCATCCGTCTATATTTGAAGGTATTGAGCCCTCCATCTGTCAATATCAGAATATTCACAGTCCCACTGGAGAACCACTCCACAACATCCCCCAACCAGAAATTCTCCACCTTGACACTACCTCCTCTGCCTGAAGTTCTCCACACCAGTGCTATCTCTTGCTCACAGGAAGCCTCAATCCAGAGAGAGCAGTCTTGCCTCCACCGTCAGATCCTGACAAGATTCCTTCTCGTCGCTAGGCACATCTCATCAACTTGTCGATCAGTGGTGAGCACAGCGCACTGCTGCTCGTTATATTCCTTTGCTTATCGTTGACATCGCAGGATCCCCAGAGACTTTGTCCTTTGTTGCCAGTACAATCCTGTGCTGGATTGCAACTTCTCAGGGCCTAGCGCTGCGGATTTGCCCTCGGTATAAGGTTTCGCTCACATCTAGACCTGCATTGGATCTACTCATTTGTGTTAACCGGGCCGCCTCCTGAGAACTGTCACTATTCTTCTCGAGTTTCCGTCACGTAAGCTCAGACAATGACTCTCTTGTGATTCATTCGCTTGAAAGCCGCTACCAATGCTAGAAATGGAGCAAAACTACATCACCATGGACAACAGCAACAATTTTCAAACCAGACATGATCGACCCGGTACCACTCCTTCTCCGGATGGAAACTATCCTAGCCACAGGCGCAGTGTATCTGGCAGCTTGCTCTCCAAACTCTCATTTTTAAGAACAAGTTCTGATGGAAATCAAGATCGAGGACCTTTGAGCCCAGAGTTCGCATCTGGCGATGATCGCACGTCACCAAAGAAAACCAGCAGGGCTATGGCTGTAGCTGTGCACCAGCAAAAAACTAGAAGGAGGAAAGGCTCACTCAGAAAGGCAGCGCTGCTCGGTCGTGGTGCACAACGAGAAAAGAAAGAAATGAAAGCATCGCCTCTTGAAACGGGCCATGACATAGGTTATGCAGGAGATGGCACTCTCAGCCCCACTTCCCCTGAGGAACTACCTCAAGCGTCGGGGTATGGCTTAGGTATTTCTGAGGCGACTCCAAGACCTTCAATGGAAGGATATGCCAGTCGAGCGAACAATGTCCTTCTGTCACCAATCAAGACCCTGCCAATGGGGACCGAAGATCATCTTGTTTCATCGCCCACTTCGGCAACAAGTCCAACGCTGACCTACACCTCGACCGACGAAGATGATGTTCTCTCCATTCCCACCCACAGTCTTCCGCCACCTCCGCGTGTACCATCAACCTCATCAGGATCCGACTCATACTTTCCCCCAGGAGCTGGCTCTCTTGCTCGCCGAAGATCGCAAAATGCCAAGTCGCCATTGTCCTTGGGAGGCCCCGCTGCCAGTCCCCTTCCGGCCCCCGATGCCGAATGGGACTACTCAGAGACTGAATGGTGGGGGTGGGTTGTACTGATCGTTACATGGGTTGTCTTTGTCACCGGAATGGGGTCTTGCCTCGGGGTATGGAGCTGGGCATGGGATGTTGGAGAAACGCCCTATGCTCCGCCAGAGTTAGAAGACGATCCGACTCTTCCAATTGTGGGATACTATCCTGCTCTAATCATTCTCACGTCTGTGATGGCCTGGGTATGGGTTGTCGTCGCGTGGGTGGGCATGAAGTACTTCAGACATGCAAAGATCAGTGGCGACTGAGTATATAAATAATCCAAAGAAATTTCACACCACGCTGTCGCAGCCTCGTCGGTGGTCGGCATCCATGTCACTAGCGGCTAAGGGTTAGACGAAGACAACGTGTTCCCTCACTGCCCTAGACACGTTGCCGACGCGCCATTTGTTTGCTTCAACACGATCGTGAGAAGTCAACATACCATCCACTACCATCAAAGAAACCTTGCACAGCGCGGTCTCTACAAGAATTCCTCCGTGCACACTCACACTATCTACAACTTCGTCAACAATCCAAAGTCACTCAGCACAAAATGGCCTCAATCTCTGTTATCGACCGTCCTTTGGGCACCTACCGATTCAAGGTTTCTGAAAACCGCGAATGTAAGACATCATTCCTGCAATCTTTGGGACATTCGATGCTGATGATTGACAGATGAAGTCATCCTGACACCCAGAGGACCCAATGCCCTGGAGCTCGCTACCAGCGTGGCTGACGATGGCGGTCCACGAGCCCTTTCTGGTGTCACTGTCAAGACCAGTGGCCAAAAGCCTAAGATCATATTTCCCCTCGAGAAGCAAGAGGTCTCTTATTTGTGGGACACCGACAAGAAGCGTTGGGTTTTCGGAGACAATTCTGACCTTTATGGTTCCAACCGCGCCACGCTAAACAAAGTTGTGGAGGAGTTTCTACACCCGGCCCCGAGGGTTGGCAGCCGCCGAGCTGGACCATTAATCAACTATCTCACGGACAGTTTGTTCTTCGAGTGCCACCTATGCGGAGAGGATCACAACGCCGAGTTCGACCGTGCTATGGCAGAAGCTGTTGACATTGTCATTGCTCACCAGTCAAATCCCAACAACCCTCCGATCCGCGATCTCGCTCTCTCCTGGTGCACCGGAGATCCAAGCGTCTCGACTATTCTGGGTCCGGTCGCTAGCGTCAAGCACTTAGAGCATGTTACGGTGGTCATGCATAGACATTTTAATGAAGATCGTTTGGATGGTGAGGGTCCCAATTGCCGATTCAGAGATATCAGGGAGGCTCAGGGAGCAATTATTGGTGGCGAATTGAAAGGGTATGCTTTCAGCGCTTCTATCGAGGAGTTTAATCGCTTCCCGGTTGACCCAGATGAGGACGAGGACGAGTATGAGTAGATTCGGGGTAGATACCGGGAAGGGATGAGCTTCATCAGACAAGCCGGGGCTTTGACCGCATAGAGGGAGTTTGGGACAATGGGATTTGATGCTTTGCTATTGACATGAGAGAGGAGAAGTTGAGCAACGTTTTTTTCACAAGACAACAATTGAGCACATGGTTTGTAGAGTAGATACCCAGAGCACGGAAATGGCATGATCATGAACTGAATTCCTAAGTAAGATGTGAATATGTGACATTGTCAATTGTTATTATTCCACTCAGAGCAAGTACACTCAATTTGCAAGTGCTGTCATTGTTCACTGGGACAACTGTACCACCGAGAGCTGGTATATTCAAACTAACACTGCCCTTATTGTCCCAGAAACATTTGGGACCTTGATTCCACAATAAGGTGGCTCTCCAGAGTGAAATGTGAAGACTTGCCTCTTGCAATTATTCCACTTACAAGCCGCACATTCCATTTTCTCGTGCTCTTGATGCTCCAGGAATACTTGGTACTTTGAATTAACTAAGCACCTGTTTCCTAAATTTAAGTGTCGATCTTTGAATTTTAACCTTTGTCACTGTTCCACGCAGAGCTGGTGCTTTCAAACACCGAGAATAATTCGTGGGGCAGCCAGAAGGAATTGGAATCAAAGCTTACTAAAGCCACTCCATCAAAGTGTAAAGTTGAAGTATTGAGACCGCTCAACAACATGCAAAAGAGAGCGAAATGTTCCGAGAATTGTTTGGAGAATTAAGGAAGGGAGAGAGGAAGTGAAGTCGGAAGGTGGAGGTGATAGATTTTGAACTAAGAAGGCGGTGAATATCTTAGCGCGGCAGAATCGAAAATGTCGGCCAAAAAATATTCAACCTAGCTCTGCACGACCTCACAGATTCTTCGAGCTTGCGCAGAACACCCATCGGCACAATGGTCACGAAAAGTAAGCTGAAGATGGCTTTGGCCGCCGACAAGGGGGTCGACTACAAGAAGTTGCACTTGAAGAAGAAGGAGAAGATTGCGAGGAAAGGAAAAGCGAAGAAGCATGGCGGGGAGGTTGAACCGACAAATGGCAAGAAGGTCGAGGAAGAATGGGAGGATGTTGAAGAAGAGAGCAATGATGAAGGCGTCGAGTTGGATGAGGAGGAGAGTGGCAGTGAAGAGGAGGTGGATGGTCCTATGAAGGTATGTTTGTAATCAACTTCAGCATTTTCCTTCTGACAATTCTACAGATCGATTTCGCCGGTATCGACGAGAGCGACAGCGATTCTTCAGCAGGCGAAAACGATCAGAATAATGAGGAATCAGATGATGAGGACGAAGAGGATATCCCCATGTCAGATCTCGAGGATCTCGATGAGGAGGAGAAGGAGGATATCATACCCCACCAACGCCTCACAATTAACAATACCGTCGCCCTCACCGCAGCCCTGAAACGAATTGCTCTACCCATATCGAAACTACCCTTCTCCGAGCACCAATCCGTCACCACCTCCGAACCCGTCTCCATACCCGACGTCTCAGACGACTTAAATCGCGAGCTCGCATTCTACGCACAATCATTATCCGCGGTGCAAGAGGCGCGCAAGTCGTTGAAAGCAGAAGGCGTTCCGTTCACAAGACCTACAGATTATTTTGCAGAGATGGTAAAGGCAGATGAACATATGGCTAAGATCAAGGCGAAGCTGATTGACGAAGCTGCGAGCAAGAAGGCGAGTGCTGAGGCGAGAAAACAAAGGGAATTGAAGAAGTTTGGCAAGCAGGTGCAGGTTGCGAAGATACAGGAACGGGATAAGGAGCGGAAGCAGACCATGGAGAAGATTAAGGTATTGAAGAGAAGTATGCTACCGAACCCCTCCGCTTCCACTTGATATTTGCTAACATGCAGAATTAGAACGTCAAGGTGCTGATACGGAGACTACAAATGAAGCTGATATGTTCGATGTTGCTGTTGATGATGAGATCAAAGACTCCAAGGCCTCGAGGAAAGACAGACAAGGACCCAATAAACGCCAAAAGAAGGACGAGAAGTTCGGCTTCGGCGGTAAGAAGCGGTTCAAGAAGAGCGGTGATGCTATGTCAAGTGGTGATTTGAGGGGCTTCTCGTCGAAGAAGATGAAAGGCGGTGCCAAGCAACGACCTGGAAAAGCGAGGAGGGCGGGCAAGAGGTAGTCTGGAATCCTGTTGATATGAGAGATCTGGGAACGGAAAATACTGGAGTTCAGGTTGTGTCTGCTTTATTGAAGGTGGCTTTCTGCAGTTTCAGGGCTGCGATTTGCCTGCTGTGTGGGCTGTAGATATCATCAGCCTGCTCGATCACAAGCGAAAGTAAAGCCGGGCAATGCTGTAATTCCAAGTTGTCAATATGGCTGATCCTCCAAATTATCGATGTGGTCCTTTTCGTTCATTCAGATGCATTCAATAGCAGTCTTTATGACCTCGATGTCACTGCCATTCCAACACCCAAAGTGTGCGAGTGCACTGTCTTTTATTCAAGTCACAGTGCGTTAGACTTCTATTTTAAATACTCCTGAAGCTACGCCCCAATCGAGAATGTGTTTATTGCGCGATGACTGCGTCCCACTGAGTGGATCCTTTTCTGATATCCATCCATCAACCTGACACGCCCGATGGAAAACTGTGCAACTTTGTTCTTCCTGCGAACAATCCGTCGCTTAGACTGGGCCGCAGCCATGTTCTTCCGCCATTTCCAGGGTCCACCCAAGGGGTCTGTTTCACAGCATCGGCTGCCGCTCTCACTGGCCACAGAGGACGGGATGAAGCCCAAAAGTGGTGCAGACTAGAACAAGCTCTCAGAGAGATGGGGACAACCAAGACATCTGAAGGCGCAGAGATCTCCAACCTCAGATAAACCTGAGGCGGAGCCGAAGCAATAGCCCTTTTTGCTTTTCGCCATGCATTCCATCCAAAGGCTCTTGAAATCTTTGCTCGAGGTGGCCTCTGTGCTTCACCTTCAGAGTTTTACCAGCACCAATTCCTTTTGGCCATCCTACAAATTCTTCACAATCTGCAAATGAATGGGATGCTGAGCGACCTGTCGACCATTAAAGATTGGCTGAGAACAACCTCTGAACAACTCCGTCCATTTGGAGTCGAGATGAGAATGCGTTCTGAGGGCGAGAAGCTGTTTCGACTTGACGCAGCAGACGAAGAAATTGCGAGCAGGCTTTGTAAGTCATTCCTCTCTCTCCATGTCTGAGCCGAAGCTGATGTGTGGAAAGGGAGTCACCACTGCTTTCTCTAGAAACTGGACTTGCTTTGAACTCTCTTCATGAAGATGATTTAAAATTCGGTGCAGACCATTTGCTAGATGAGAACTATCAACTTCCCATTAGAGTAAGATTGCAATCACTAATGCCCTCGCATCAGATACCATAAACCTTTTCCAGCAAGAGCCTCCTGAGAATGTAGACGATTGCATGGACTGGGAAGCTTCAGACAGCCTTCCTGCGAGACTTCAACTCCACCGAGCCAAATGACTCGATGGAACGAGACTGAACTTCTCGAAGCCTCGAAGAGGAAGACTCGTCTCTTCGGCATGAACGGCATCATGGTGGTATGGTGGATGCACTACCTACAACTCCGCCCCGGGTGGCCGATTGTGGTCAAAGATATCCACCCAGCCCTCCTCCAATCAACCGTCGACGATCCCACCACCAAAATGGTGGGACAATGCTTTCCCCTCAACCATCTCTTAACCTTTGGTAATCATTTCGCAACCTCCACTGATCAAGTGGGATTTGCTCTCTGTCTCGCAACACGCTCGTGTCGTCCGCCAAATCGAACTCCTCGACAGGCACCTGTGGCAGATCACTACGAGCACCAGACTTCTGAGAGGAGCCCTTTGTTTTCGAGCATGCTTTTTGAACATTACCTTTGTCGTGGAAGCATTCGGTTATTCTATGTAAGATCTTACTCGTACTGATCATGATGTGCTGCGGCACACGAACTTGTTGGATTTCTTTCATTGAGCACGCCCCGGCTTTAGGCATAGGGCTCGTTGTATTATCTTGAGTAACAGAGGGAAGATGGATTATTTGATTGCAAACGCGCTTGCTGTATGAGCTGGGCGCGTTTCAGTATTACTAGAATTTGAGAAGGGTTTTCTTGGCACGGGAGGCATCACGAGAGAAGTAGGAACGCACTGTGGATACTTTAGCTAAGCAGCGCGGGTGCTTCGGGAAAATGCAAACTTTAGGTAGAAAAGAGCGCACAAGCAACATGCAATAAAGTTATGTACCTAGTTGGCCATCATCCTATTTTTGTGAAGTACTGAATTTTGTGGAACATGTGAGCATGTCTCCCAGCGCCACTACCCCTTTCCAGGATGTTTAAGCATACTGCGCCTCATTGGCCATTTGCCGAGTGCCCCACTTCCCCTTTCTCTGTCGTTTAGATTCCTTTCTGAGGAACAAATTAGAACCAGATGTGTTCACATCGAAATGTCAGCATGAGCATTTTTCATGTTACATTTTTGGATCTGAGCTGTTGCCGCTTTAGCCTGAACGGTGAGTGAGCAAGGTGACGCCTTTGGTAAACACTCCTGAGCAAGGCCTTAACCCAACCAAAGTCAATTTAACCATACACAAAAAAGCCATTTTAGCGCCTGGAGAAGAAATCTGGCCATAAAGTAGTGTTCGGCAAATCTCACCGCCATCAGTCGGCAGGTCCTCCTTAAGAGTTGGTCACGTGGGATAGAGAAGATGCTCAGAAGACGTTCCAGTCCACGAGCATCAACTTATTGCTACTTCGAGTGTGAGACAGAAGATGATAATCCCGCCAGAAAAATTCACTTGCGAGGCCCCCTGCTGTCCAAAGTCATACACATAGCCTGAGTTCGGATTAATTGACGACTCACGGGCTGGCATCACGACCTAGTCTGGCACGCTACATGCATGGAACAACACTACGGCTGCTTGTCCTTCCAAATTCACCCAATTCGCCCGCCCGTGGTGTTCCAGAAGACTTAGAGAATGCTTCCATTCCCATGAAATAAATCCGTAGTTGGGGAAGACACAAGATACTCCCGCCACCACCACACCTCAAAGTACTGACCTAGGAGCACTTTTGTGATATCGAAGATCAAAACCGTTTCTGTTTGACTGCAGAAAGCATCCACAAGTTCGAGAATGTGCGACCCCAAAGGGAGACTGGCTTAATCCACGTAGCAGCTTTTCCTCTTCTGTCCATCTCGAAGAGGTGTAGACGGGATTGCAAAGGAAGAATAACTAACTGCGCATGGAACAATGTCGACTCTCTCTTCCATTCTCTCTTATTAGAAAGCTTCTCGAGTTGGGTAATGGTATGATCATATTTTTTCAAGTGCGAAATCAACTCAGAGATAACCAGCAGTAACCAATTTCCGAAACCGGGCAAATTCTGTACCAAAGACAAGTCCCTTAATCCCAAAAATTGCGAAAGATCCTTGAGCATAACTTCGTAATACCCAGCATGATAATCGGTCCTTGAAAAGAGAGAACAAGTTTTGAGATGTCTCGACCGTCACAGAAAAGTGCCCCAAGCTCCACACCCTTGGGCCATATCAGTGCCCGTTCTACCTTCACACCATACAATTTTCCGCTTGGTTCGTTTCTTTCAAGATAAAATAGGCTCATTCACGGTGCAGCGCCTAGAGATGATTGGATGGGAGGGCGCCAGTAACTCCCCCTACCACTTCCAGATGAGATCAGAGCTGTTGATTGTTGATCATTTCTCCACTCGGAAGATCTGGTAAGCTGCAATCAGTTAGCAACTTGATAGCTACAATATATAAGATATCCTTTTGTTTACGCGGATCGTCCCGCCTAGCTCTCCATCTCCTCTCGGCGCCGCCTTACTTCCATCCGCACTATGGCATTTACTCTTTCTGTACAACCAATGTCAGCCCCACCTAACCCCTCGATTTTTTTCAGGGTGTCCAACTTGAAAATCAGACCATCGGTCGTCTCCGTCCACTCGCGCGAGTGTCTAGCGAGTAGCATTAATACCAAATTCGCCTGACGGCTTCTGCACGCAAGATCCAAAGCCCGTACTCTCTGAGACTCATCAGCTTTGAAAAGTGCTCTGTAATTAAGCAACAGCTTCACAATCTCATCATGCCCACACTGAATAGCCCATAGCAAGGCTGACATTCCATCTTTGTCTTTATCTGCAGTCTTTGCACCAGCAGCAAGAAGGTATCGAACAATTTCAGTCTTTCCGCACCGCGTGGCGATTGTGATAAGGTAGGAGTTTTCTCTGGCTTCTTCCGTGTCATAAGGACCCCATGATTCACTTGACGTGAGATTCAACGCTGCCTCGACTAGACGGCGGACAATTTGGTGGTTCTTGGAGTTGATGTGTGCTAAGAGCGAAGGACGTGGATCAACTCCGGCCTCTAATAGGACGCTAACAACCTTTGAATGCCCGACTTTGGCTGCTTGGTACAAGGGACATTGATCCAGGCTTGGAGGGCCCTCCAAGGTTGTCGACGCAGACAATAGCACTGCTACGATATCGTCATAACCACGAACTGCTGCAGCACAGAGGAGGGCTTGGAGAAGGTCATTTCCATACGTCTCTAGATTGGGAAAATTTGCAGCTCCTCGTGAATTGCTTTGAAGTAGGTCCCCTGCTGGGCCACTGAACTGATCAACCTCGGCGCCTTTATCTAACAAAAGTTGTACGGTTTTTAGGTGGCCGTTTGCCACAGCAATGAACATTAGTGAAGGCGTCATATGCCCCCTGAAGAGTGATTTTTTAGCCTCGATGACATTCATCTGGCTGTTATTATCCACAAACATGTCAACAAACACGTCGATAAACATTGTAGCAACCCCGTTGTGGCCAAGAGAAATTGCAAGTCGAAGACAAAAATCGATAATATTAGATGGTTTCTGAAAAGTGAAGGATCTTTTGACGGCGTACACGAGATCCACGGATAGCTGCCTGCTGGTGATAGCGCAGAAGCTCAATCTCAGACTCTGTCAGCCACAATTGGGTATCGGAGTTCGAAGTAGTATGTGTTCCCAGTCCGTCAAGCTCAAACTTTTTCAATTCGTATTGGGCACCGGAAATCGAAGTACTACTGTATGTGTTTCGAGGTTCTCCACTTGCACGGGAGATGTAATGTTAATGTCGCTGTAATCAACCAGGGTCCGAACAACTTCGACATTTCCGCACCTGACGGCGATCTCAAGAGCCGAGCCGCCTTCAGGGCCCTCATCCAGAGGATCACCACCATTCTCCAGCAACAACAGAACGATTTCGCGAGCGCCTTCCTGGGTAGATTTCCTCAGTGCTGAATTCTTGGCCTCGATATCCTGGGGCGATGCTTCGGCTGATTGCATGACCATGAGTAGGCCTTCTACCACTGCTCCGTTACCATTCCCCGCTGCATCAACCAAGGCTTTTCTTAGATACGTCCGAAAACCGGGGCCTACTGGTGGCTCCCCGAGCCCCCAAAGAGAACGAGTCATCTTTACGATGTTTACGTGGCCGCGGAGCGCAGCCATTGCCCCAGAAGAGAAATAGTAGCCATCATGTTCGAGGAAAAGTTCCAAAAAGGGGGCGAACGAGTCCACGATATCTGCAACCAGTTTCTCCTGGCCATGCATTGATGCTTCGAAAAGCAAGTGTCCCAAAATTATGTCCTCTAAGCTGCGAGAGGAACCCACCCCGGAGCTAGTCGGCTGTCCCAATGATCCATGTACTGACAAGAGGCCAGATTTCAATCCAGTGAGAAGGTTCCCGTTTCCTTGACGGCAAGCACTTAAGACCTTGGAGTACAGCCACAGATAGGCTCTTTCAATAGTCTCGGGAATGCTTTCCGAATCGGTTGGGATCATTTCCAATGTTTTCCTGTCCAGTACTGATTTGTATGGCCCTAAGCCATGCAGCTTTACTCCTGCACGATTCATAAGATAGACCCCAGGATTATCATCTGTAAGTACTGCTAATAGCAGCAGATGTTGAGCTTTAATGGCCCATCCCGCCTGAGCAATAAGCCATAGTTCCTTGTTTTGAATGCTTTTATGCTTCCATGGAAAGACGTTGAAGAGGAGATTTTTGTGGAGGATCAATGTATGGAATAATTGGTATGTCCTGGAGGCTTTATCCATGTGATGATCCAAACAGGTACTGTGAGGAAGCCAGTTGTTAGAGATATACTCTAAGATTCGAAATTTCTGAAGGAGATGCTCGTTGGGTGCTCTCGTGTTGACATATCTTCGATAGTCGATCTGTTTTGGCGTTGCTGAAGGTCCTCCCCTGAAGTAATCCCATACTTTAACGACACTATTCGCCAAATAATCATCAGGAACGATCGAGAAGCTAGAAACCATTTCTTGTATTAACTTCATGTCATTGTTTGTAGCGTCCAAGTACTTCGAAACCTGTGATTCGAAGTCTGAAAAGCAAAGATAGGCAATGCAGACTTGTGCCACCGCGATGTTTGCCTCTTCCATTGTGAAATGGATAGAGGATCCCAGGTCGTAAGGCTTGCCGAGGACATATTGCTGGACTGTGTAATGGGCAAGAGAGACATGCCGTGTCTCTTCGCTGATCACAACCAGGTTCCCGCAGGCACGAACGACTCGGAGAATCTGGGTTGGAATCTTGCTGCCGTCCCAATGTCGGTCCTCTATATCAAAAGCAATTGCCTCCCGAAGTTCATCGATATAGAGTGGACGTTTGGCGCAGACAATCCATTGAAACATTCGCCGGACTAAATCTTCTCGCTGTTCGCCATTGATTCTTCCAAGGAGCCTGTCGTATGTCTCGCCAAGATCTTTGGGGAGGTTTTCTAGAATTCGTTTCACTTCACTATCGGTTTCCGCCGTACAAAGCTCGGCGAGTTGAAATTTGACCCATAGAAACATGCCCTTTGCGCCGTCCACAAGACAGTCGATAATAAGTTGCTCTAGATCCTCATCGCCCAGTACCAAGCTCCCGTCAGCCAGTAGACTTCGCACCGAATGTGTAACATACACCTTGATGTCATCACTAATGGCAGTGGGAAGGACTTGGAGGCGATGCTTGACAACATGCGGGGGCGTCATGGCCGAGACATCATCATCTCGACTGCAGAGTAGAAGTTTGATCGGTTTGGTACCTCCCCAGAGACTTTTGAACGCTTGGTTTATATTTTGTCGATCACAGTCCTTTACCTCATCCAGCCCATCTAACACCATCGTAACAGAATCAAAGACTTCCTCGACTAATGTACCGAGAATTTGGAGAACATCGCGAAGCTCGGGCGATTTATTTCCGTTGCCGTAGCATTTCACAATCAATTTTTCCACGGAGGAAGGAATTGGAACATGCTGAAGAAGGCCCTTAGCCAGCGATGCAAAGATGTTGATGGGTTCAAGAGTTCTTTTGTCTGCATAGTCACAATAGTAATGCGTGACAGCGGAACTTGTTGTTGACTTTGGGAGAGTGTCGATGATAGCTGATGCTAGAACCGACTTCCCGCATCCGGCTTACCAGAACTTGTCATTTATAGCTCACAATTTGGGGAATAGAGGTACTTACGTATCCCATGGCAACACAGTGCTGCCGAATCTGGACAGTGCAACCAGTTCTGATATTCGGGTGACGCAAGCGCCCACAAGCATGTACCTTCATGGCGCATGGATCCTAGGGCGCGGTGCCTATAGCCGTCATCAACTCCTGACAGAAACCCTAAGAGTTGAACGCGTCGGTTTGCTATTTGATCAGAATTAGCGCTAGATAACTTATTCTTCTGGCTCCGACTAACCTTTCTCCTCCCTTTCCTGCAGTTCTTTATTTGCAAGAATTATTGCTCTTGCCTCCTTTGCTTCAATCATATGGCAAATCTCGGCTTCCTTCTCTACGGTCTCTTTATGGTCACGGAACTTCTGGATAGCTTCTTCGAGCTCCGTGTCGAGCTCCAATGGCTTCAAAATTCGCTTCAAGGCTGACACTTTCTGCTCTTTTAGAGCAATCCGAAATTTAGTACAAAGGTCAATGATGTCGAGATAAGCGTTGGATAGGGCTTGCGTTAGCCTTTGATGTTTCTTTGAGTCAAATAACCTCTGATAGTCGCCTCAATTAGGTCAGTATTCATCTATCCAAGCCATTATTTGAACTTACGAAATCTCGGTAGCAAATCGCCGATCCTGCCAAACATCTCAACAGCTTGTGCGTAGAACTTTGTGTATTTCTTCGCCATAGCAAGAAATACTCTGATACTTCCCCATATCGGAGCTAGATACAGTGGGGCCATGTTTGTGAAAGTATCTAAGGCCTTCCCATAGTCTTCGACAGCAACCACCAATGGTCTCATCTTTTGAACCAGAGATTGGGCTTTACTGCTGGTCCTGTCTTCCCGCTCGCAGTTGCTAGCAGTGTAATATAGGTTCTCAAGACTTGCCGAATCGAAGAGTCTCTTCTCGCTTTCAGATAGATCAGCTGTGAAGCGATTTCTAGCGATCACCCAAGGGTCATCGGGATCGTCCAGGCTGGGAGCCTTCTGCGTCGCAAGCGTGCCTGGCATTTCGCTGTGGGGTTTCGCACACCTGTGTAGAGGAACATACTAAGATCTCGAAAAATCTCGAAAGATTGAATCGAAATAGAAGAATATTAATGCAGAATTGAGCGGGGTTTGATTGTGAGGCTGTGGGCAGGTCTGGCGTGGGGCTGAGTGGCGCCACTCAAACAAGAAATTCTGTTGGGTGGACTCCATCAACGCCAACTTAATTCTGCTACACTCCACGGGAATCCGACAATTAAATACACGAAAATTTCAAGTAACTTTGAGAAAAGAGGTACTATGTCTTCAGGAACTTGAAGCTTAATATCCCGGCTTTCTAGGTAATCTTACTTTGACAGCCGTAGGCCAAAAGTATTATCTTTTCCAAGTTCTTTAGGTAGTGAGCAGTTGACTTTTATATTTTTGCAACCAAGCATTTATTAGAAGGCTGCAAGCACTTCAACGTGAATGCGCATTTGTTTCACAGTAACACGATTAATCTGTCTCTAGAGACATATGTATTAGAAATAGGTTCCTAAGGTTTATAATAAAGACTAAGCTATAAATTAGCTTTTCATATAATATATTAGTAATTAAATTAATAATATTTATTATATATACTTTTTTCGTTTTCTATTTTCTATTTTATAATCTTTAGCTATTATAAGTATTATATAAATATATTATATATAAGCTTTCTTTAAGCAAGTTTTATTTCCCTAAAATATAACTCTTATAAGTACTCTTATACGTAATAAAAGCTTAATACTTATTTCTTCTATTTTACTTTTATAAATTAAATATTAATAATAGCTAATATATAAGTTTAAATATAACTTTCTTATATAAATATATTATATAATTATCTTTTATATACTTGTTATTACAGGTATTATTCTCTAAATATCTCTTTATTTAAGTTTCTTAATTCCTTTATTTATTTAATATATTTCTTATATTATTATTATATTAAGCTTATAACTAGAAACTAACTAGTTATTTTTTAAGAATTAATACTTTATATACAAGTATAATTAAGGGCTTTCTTATCTTTTATATATTAATTATACTTATAATTATCTAAGAAATATATTAGATTTTAGTTATAAATTTATATTTATCTTAAAACTATTATTTTATATTATTATAAATTTCTTTCTATTAATTTATTACTATTATTAAAGGATTTAAAGCCCTTAATTAGTAATTTTCTTTACTTAAATATTATATATATTAAAAAAAGAATAAATTCGTACTATATTTAAAGAAAATATCTTTTAATATCTAGATTAATATATCTAGATTAATTTGATATATTATTATATTTATATTTTAATATATATATATATATATAATTTAGTTATTAGATCTTAAAAAATTAATATATTATTACTATATATAATAAAAAAGAGCTTAAAAACGCATTAAAATAACTAAAATTTAGTTTTAGCCCAAGAGTATAAAATCTTTTAATTTCTAACTTATTATTGCATGGCAACTGCGTGCTAGTGGTCACGTGACTATAATCCTGTATTTAAGCTTTGGCCACTCGTGCCACACCTCCCTTTCCTCTTTATCTATCTATATATTATTATTACAATATAATAATAATGTTTTATTATAATACTTATATTATATAAAAGTACTAAATATTATAAATTATTATTATATATACTTTATTAATTTTTATTTATTTATTTTTATAAAAATTTGAAATTTGAAATCGAAACTTTATATAAAAAATAATAGACCTAATTAAAATCTATTAAAAGTTAATAAATTAATATATATATTTTTAAAATATTTTCTTTAATTATATATAATTCTTTATTATTATACCTTTTACTTATTTTGTTATCTATAAACTCTTTATATGAAATATTATATAAAACGGATCTATAATTAGTTATTAAGAAATAAAAAAACTCGCTAAATCGTGTTTTTGTGTGTGGGCGTGCTTTTGCCAGGGCCCTCGGTTAGCACGTAACCGTCAATCCGAACGAGGCTTAGCCGAATTTGTCTCCCTTCAATTCCCTTGCTAAACCCGCAGCTTGACATTGTGAGAATAGGGCAGGGGGAACTTTTTGTCTGCTTAACTCTCCGTGCTCTCCTTGCAATATTCATAGCTGGTATGGATGTGTTTTCAACCTAAAGCAAGTGCAGTGGGATGTCCAAGCGAAACGCCAAACTAGAGAGGCCGAAACTACTGTGTCCCTCCAAGTGGCACTTCATGCGCGGCGAGCCATTCCCGCGCCCTCAACGTGCCAGGTCAGGCCTGCAGCAAGCCGTGTCTCCCCCTGCCTTCCTCCTTATCCAGGATTTCGAGAAGTGGGTATCCTTCGGATACGAAATGGATACTCCGTACGGGCGGGATAAATGCCAAGCGGGCTAAGTTTTCCCCATTATCAGGAGCGTGTGATAGGCGCAGAGGTCTCATTTCCAGGGGCGCGGTACCCGCTCCTCATTTAAGCCATGTTCCTTCAAGATGTCACCCCGTGTCTCCCTTTCTTTGCTTCTTTAGCAAATTTTTTTTTTATAGATATATACTCGAGGAAGGTATGAAAGTTGCTTTCTCGAGGGTTGAAGCCTTCATGTCAGGGCCGTCGTCCCGGCGTCGTCCGGGCCTTTTGTATACTGCGCCTGCTTTTGGGTTATCTTTGCTTTTCTTGTGGTTCTGGATCGGTAGGCATCATGAGCAGCCAGTTGTCTACCCTCCCCCGAGGCCGATCAATAATGCGCCCGAGAAGGAGATGATTAGGGAAGATTGGGATTTTGTCCGAGACGCAAGAAATTTTCTGATGACTGATGCGCGGTGCGATGAAGCGTTTCCAGAGCTGTTCAAGGAGATAGACCGGGCTGTGGAAGTACGGAAGAACGATCATGTCACCCTGAAAGAGCTGGACGAAATAGTGAAAGTCAAGGGTTACATGCGAGCTATGATTTATGACCAACAGGTATATTAACTCCCAATTGATCAGCACGCACTGCTAATAACCAAGCTCTACGTTCTCGACGCGGCAGCGTTAGCGATCAACTTGCGCGAGCAAGCTACACTTCACGCCATCCACCGCGCAATCGTTACCTCCCCCGAACCCCTCCCAAACATCGAGTTCGTATTCATGTCTGACGACATCGCAGCCGGCACCCCAGAGGCAAAATGGTCATACTCGCGGCAATTGAACGAGACCTACAACTGGCTGATGCCCGACTTTGGGTACTGGTCCTGGCCAGAGCCCAAAATCGGTTCATACCTCGAAGTACAGATGAAAGCGACCGCAATGGACACCAAGCTGGCATGGCGGAAGAAAACCAACAAGCTGATATGGCGAGGCGCAAGCATGGAGCTTCTGGTGCGAGAACAACTCGTCAACGTTTCACGCGGACACGAATGGGGGGACGTCAAGATCTTTAGCTGGGAAGAGGAGGGCCCCAAGCCAGAAAGCAAGGAAATCCTCACCATGGATGAGCACTGCGCCTACAAATACGTCGCGCACACCGAAGGCATCTCGTACTCCGCGCGCCTGCAAAACCTGCAGAACTGCAACAGCGTCATCGTCTCGCACCAGCTCAAGTGGCTGCAGCACCACCACCACCTCATGGTCTCTTCCGGCCCGGACCAGAACTTCGTCGAGGTGGCGGCGGATTTCAGCAATCTGCCGGAAACGATGGAGCGCTTGTTGAAGAATGATGCGGACTCGGAACGCATCGCGGGGAATAATGTGAGGACGTTTCGAGAGCATTATTTGACGCCGGCGGCGGAGACGTGTTATTGGCGGAAGCTGTTTAGGGGGTATGCGAGCGTCAGCTTTGAGCCGGAGTTCTTTGATGCGAAGGGGAAGTGGAGGGGCTTGCCGATGGAGAGCTATGTACTGGAGAGGAAGCTGACTTGGAACCCTCATTAGACGTCCAGGCTGTATTGGTTCGAACATCATTGGATTGGCGTTTTGGGTGCTGGGCTGGTGGTTTGAATCTTCGACGAGAGATGACATCTGTTGTAATGTTTCACCGACGCATCGTGCATATGGGCTGGAGTTTCTGGGCGGAATGGTTTATTGCTATAGATCTTAGACGTTAATACCCAGATCTTAACCTTGCCATCTTAACGCAAACCGGCATCCTCCTTTACTTCCAGGCGGCGTCGTTTTAGGCAGCTGTCAGAAGTCCAAGAATGGGGAGGCTAATGTCTAGTCGCAGGTCCCAACCCACGTCATTCGAATACCTACACTTTATCAATTGGGTCCGCCTCCTGGTGCCTCCAACTGGGCACGATACGAACCGAGATCTTCAGACGTCAGCTTGGCGAACCGGTGGAGTTCCAGATATTATCCTGGGGGAGGTATGCCTTGCGGCTGATAAAGTAGGGCAGGGAGTTTCCCTGGATTTCGGAAGACGAGAGTCTGTGGAAGTTTCATCTTAAATTGTTCGCGTGGGCCGAAATGGAGATGAAGAGGACACCTACATCGCGGGTTGGATACGAGATGCGACGTCTGGTTTGGAGCAGAACGGCAATGCAGATCACGGCTTGGAGTGTCTCGGCGTGATGTGTTGGTTTTTGCAGACGGTTTTTCGATATTTGTCTGGACGAGGTTTTGCTTCCTTGCTTCATCTGTTCGTGCATGCACCTTTCTTCAAACTGTGGAACCGTGTTGTCGAATTCGTTTGATAAACATACTTAGTTTAAGCAAAGCCGTTGCTTTACATTTTCCTTACTCGGGCGAGGAATTATAACCTCTTTGCCACGAGACGAATTTGAACCGCACGACCTCTCTTCCGTCACTCATCGTTGCCATTTTCAAAGGTAATTCAACAATTCTCTTGGCCTTCTTGCTCTTTAGTCGTTTCCACAGGGTCTGACCAACCAGGTTCTTCTAAATCGTTGGAGTTCTCAGAACCGCTTGATCTTATCCTTGGCTTGTGATCAGGTGCTACCTGCCTCGTGTGTGACAGTGTTATCCTCCGGATCAAACCAACTAGTGCTGCCACCGGCTTGTGCAACCTCTGTTCCTATAAGAAGCGTAGTCGATGTTGCTTCTAGAACTCGCCATCACTAATTTCCTCTTGCTCTCTCTCAGCCTCCTACTCCCATCGATATCCCCGATTCCGTACTAGCCCATCGGCCCCATCTGGCTTTGCGGAGACCTTGTGCAATCTGTTGCTATAGAAGTCTGCTTTTTCGCAGAGTCGTATATAACGCAGAAGGTCGATCGCCGTCCAATTTCCTTCCTCTACCGCTCCTTGAAAGAGCTTAACGAGCGAGGTTTAGCCCTCAGTATGGACAAAGTTCACAATACCCACTATGACCTTGTTCCGTTGAATAATTTGCTTTACGTCCACAGTGCTTTCATGCTGCCTAAACTCAACCGTTGGTTTGGCGCCTGGGATGTTCAGGCAAAAATACAGCAAGTTCAAGGAGTTGTATTTCTTGTTCTTGTTTGAATACGGAGTACCAGTTTCCCATTGCCTCTGCGAGCTCCTTCATATAGTCGATTTTTAAGATCTCTACTACCCCTTGCATTGATGTCAGCGCCACAAGATTCGGATTGGCAAACTCGTGCTCAGAGTAATGCACACACAGAAATGAGAACAAGTTTGCATCGTACGCAGTTCGAATGTTGCTGCTAACCTGGCTGATTCATGCTAGAAACAGGATGTCATATCAGTATTGTCTGCAAGAATGTCCAGAGCGAAGATGACACATTGTAAGCTATCGTTCAAAGCCCATAAGTTCGATGAGTGATCTGCTCGGAAAATAAAATAGAATGCCGAGGAATAAATAACTGACTACATGTAATCCCGCGGACTCCGGGGTATTGATATAGTAGTTGCTTTTTAAAAGTTCACATGCCTTCGGGATGGCCCCCTAAATTCTCGACCCTGCGGTAGAGACAGCAAGTTCTAATTTCTATTTCAGGTAGTACAGAGAGCATGTTCAAGAAATGAAGCTCTCCCTGGGGGTGTTTGAGGAGTAGGGGCTTTATTAAACGCGCCTAATAGACTAAAGAAGTTAAGAAGTCAGTCTGCTTTACTCACCTAAACCCGAAGGAGGGAGACATAACTTGAACATCCGTCCAATAATACTCCGTATCTACAAGCGGATAAACACTCTAATCCTCACCCACCCTCCACATCGCGAAATTCTCTTCAAAATTATCTTCGTCCTCGACTTCTACTATTAACCCTGATTCGCAGAACTTATCAAATACATGCCGCCGGACTGCTAGTGCAACAAGTGTGCGCATGAAAGACTTGTCCATTTTGGTTTCGGTGACCAGCAAGAACATCATCCGCAGATAATTTGAGCGTGTCTCCATCATGGAAGTAATTTACCACATACTCTCTCTTTGAGTTGTAGCCTTCGACCGCTGAGTTGACGTCTTCTTGGGAAGACCGAAAACGGAGGATTCGTGCCCCGTTTGGGTCTGGTAATGCTTTGGTGGCTGGGCAGATGAACGCGAGGAGAACTCTATTTCATGGCTGAAGAACCATTTGGGAAGGGTAGCCACCGTAGAGAACAGAGTCCTTCCTTATTGTTTATTTCCTGGAACTGGAAACTGTATGGCGGCAAAAGCTCTGGCGAACGACGCACCTGGACTTTTAGATCTATTGTGTTGAGGCAGCTTTTTCTTTGTTCTGCCTCGGGTTTTGCTTGTACAAAGGGAGCTTTTCTCAAATAGCGGCCTCTGTAATACTTTAATAGGCTGTTTGTGTATTTTTAATGAAGGAGACAAAGGGAGGGGATGTATTGTTTGGTCTAGGACCTAGATATTCGGCTTAACTTACCACTTTTGATTGTTTTACCAGAATCCATCTACCAACCCTCTTAAGCTTGAACGCACTCCGATCAGAACACTGCGGCCTAGCGAGACTAAAAGCTAAACAGTTCTCTAACCTCAGGCATAAAAATGTTCCCTAACTTGCACTCCCGGCTCATCATACTTCAGTAGGGTAGGGGGCAGCGCCGACTGGGGGTTCTGTACTGAAGACGGAGATGAGGCTCACGCCTAAAACCCGCATTTGGTGGCGACCCCCAAATCTGCGCTGCCCCTAACCCTACACGATCCTGAACTCTTCATTGTGAGCACTGTCCCCGGCAGTGGCATGAAGAAAAGGGCGAGGATAATGTTAGAAGACTGAATGAGAACTTGACTGAAGCTTCTTTACCGTGAGGATTAAGAAATCGAGATAAACTTTGTTGTAGTAAAGTGTGTTCGATTGTGCAGTGTGATATTGGTAGAATTACCAGTATGCTGGCGGAGCATCGGGTTTAAGTGGCCGTTCAACGGCTCCAGGGGTCAAGCTCGCGAAATCACGGCCTTGCGCCACCTCCTGAGTCTTAAGCGAGGCACTGAAAGTGGTGTTATCCTGAAGCATATATGAAATTATGTCGCAGTAGAGCTGCAAAATCTATAATAACTGTACATAACGACTGACAACACATTTTCTGCTACGCGTTTGTAAGAAGTGATTACTTATCTTGTGGAAAGAAGAATCACCTACCAAAATGGACATATCCAAGCCATCTGGAAACTAGGGCACATCTATCAGTCTAGCCAACTCAGAACTTCATTAGTTAAAGACGCAGGCAGTGTATAATCTTTAAAGTTGAAAGGAAGAATCTTGAAGATAATGGGAAGTGCTTTCGGTATTTTAAGCGCATCCGCCTTCCCTTCCCTCACCCTCCAATGTCTGCTGTTCTCTGTACAAGATCTTTCGGGCGAACATGTTTGCAATTCCCAGAGAGTCCGGAATATTTTTTTTTAATACTTGCTATAATACGGGATGTTGTGGAAATTTCGCGGAAGTTCGTATTCCATTAGACTAATAAATTAGTTATAAATTTTAAACAACGGCGAAGGCAAGTCATGGAAAGATATTCACCTAAATTTTCCTTTGAAGGGCGATCGCCTAGCAAAAAATTTATGAGGCTCGCTCATACGGACCACAGCCGGTGGACCATAAATATTTGCCCTTCGTCCTCAATCCTTCAAATTCTTCATCCAACTTCCACCTCCAACTCTTCTTCTCAACGCCATCTCCCAACGGATTTCTTTCCAAACTGCGAGCCATCAGGCTAAGGTATGTGAACACCAGCTGATATGCCCGTCTGCCTCTTTAAACCTCCTACTCTTCACTTTTTCGAATGTCCCAATACTGATGCCAACATCTTCCAGTGCAGTACAAATACCAGCATGCCGGTCATAATCAAACCAATTCCCGACAAGGCGGGCACCAACACTGATGAAGCTGTCAGCAGTAGCCAAGAGCTCTTCAAGAAGACTTCACTTGCTTGGGCACCGCCAGGCGGCGGAAATAGAGATATGACAATCGTTGAGACTGACAAGCGGCGAATCATCCAGTCGTCGTTCCCTGATATCGACGGCTCTGCCCAGAAAGTCATTCCGTATGGTAATGGTTTCGTCAACGGTGTCATTCGCGCTTTCCAGCAAGACCTTCATCTCATTCTCCGACCAGATGATATTTGGCTTGCTGTCTTGACCCAGTACGTCTTCCATATTTTTGTTTTAAGCACGCGAGGTAGGCGTGTGGTTTGATGCTGACAAGCGTGTAGATTTGGCATGTATATCAACGGACAGGCTGAAGAGGCTCGTAAGTTCTTCGTACGACGCGAAGGCAAGCAGCGACTCTTGATCGATATTACCCCCAAATATCTCTGGGCAATGGATACGGGTGAATTCGCGCAGAAGACGACGACCCTCATCCAAGATAATGTTGGGGATCGAGGCCTCGAGGACTGGATTATGCCAAACTTCACGACTACTACACACAACGACAAGTCGGTCGCCGCAATTGCGGTGATGGGAATTGTCCAAAGCTTCTTCAACTATACAGTTGAAGGTGGTTGTGGCTTCCCATCAGTCACCCTTCTCGGTGAGAAGTCAGACTGGTATGAGATTGAAAAGGGAATCACCCGCCTCATTTGCTACGGTATGCTGGTCCTAGAGTTTCTATGAGATTCCTTCTTTCTATCACCCTTTCTTAATACACGGGCAGCTCCTGTGGTACAACCGATTCCAGAACTGACTTTCACCTCCTTTAGGCTCTGAGGCTGAAGAATGGACGATGCTCTTAGCAAAGGCCATCAAAGCCATGGTTCAATCTTTTGACTCCCCTGAATCTCAAGCAACAAAAGACTTCTGGCTGCACGCCTGCCACTCTGGAGGACAAGATGGAAGTTGCAATGATATCGAAACTATCTCCGGTTGGCTTTCGGCTTTCTGCTTCTGGGACAAGGATGGACGTCGCATTCCTGAGATACACAAGGATACCGAATTTTGTGAAGATCGCTCTACACCATTCGCGGACCGAAAGAAACTTGCTCTAAATGACATCAAATATCCAGTCATTGCCCGAAGTGCCATTCCAATTGGCGTTCTCTCTATACCAGTCACTATTTTCCAAGGCACGGAAACCCAGCTCGAGCATGAAACAACTATGATCGCTGGATCGGTCGCAATGACAGCTACCACAGTGGGTGATCAGACTGCTTTCCAGCCTCGATCGGGTTGGTGGATGGTAAGTCTTGACTTCTGGGAGTTTCGTTCCCTCTTACGTGTCGATATATCAGGAGCCGATGAACATTGAGCCTGTAATGTCCAATGGCTCCTGGAACATTCTACCTTGAAATACTCGAAAGAAGTATGCTGACTTTGATGTTTGGGCTATAGGTCGAGGACTCTGTCAAACCTTTGGGAAGCAGCGCTTAGGCCAGTGCGACTTATCACACACTTGTCTGGCATATCCCACCGACTCTCTTCTTTGATTATACTTTCAGATGGCATAAGATTGGTAGAGATTGACTTACGAAATTGCAAGCAATAATGACCCAACGGATGGCTTAGGAATGGAGTTTGGCTTTCTTGCACACAGACCTGGGAAAGGAAAGAATGGAATTCTGCTATGGCAATACAATGAACCACACATTAATGGATCTTCTTCTTCTTCGTCCTCTACATGTGATACAATACAACTTCGAACGCCTGATCTTCTGAATTCACTCTTGTCTAGTTACCATGGGCCCTGCAGACCAAGAACACCTCAATTAAATGCTATTACCCCTTTACCCCACTTGTCTTCTCTGTCGAAGATGTGCCATGCCAGGGTCTGCCAGAAGATCAGACATCGAAATCGTATGGGTATGTTGATGACGGAGGACTGGTTGAGACTCGAAATAGCCATTACCTCCGTGATCTAGCCCCATTTCTTATTAGAAAATGAATACACTTGAGAATTGCAGAGAAGCATGCTTACGATGCTCGGTGTTCATAGCTCGAAGTGTACAATATGAGATGAAGACTCCAACCAAGCTGACGATAGCGCTGAAGATGCCGAATCCAATCGCTATCGCTGTATCAATCGATACTTGAATAATGTTAATAGAGTTCGAAGAAGAAAAAATATAAGACTGGCTCTGGATAGGGCGGTGGCTTCAAATCTGAGTAGATACGTGCTTGTGCAATGTCACGCAGGGGAATGAGGAACCCAGGTAGAGAAGTCTTACCCATGTCGAAGAATTGTTGCAAAGATGATAAAGACGTTATTCGAATGCTATGGATATGGAATTCTAGTTATGGGAAAGTGGCTTTATATATCATGTTCATTAGTTGAAGGGACGACGTGGGAGGCTAGGCAGAGAAGTAGATAGCGATAGCGATGCCGCGACATTTGAGTTGAGGCTTCAAGCTTAGACGCAATCTGACACCAGGACGAGCGGTGGTGCACAACATCTGACATTTATTGATAAAGCGCACGGGAAGAACTACCAGTGCGTATGACTAGAGCAGCCTGCCAATGAATGAATGATGGCCCGCCCCGCTGGCTGGGACGCACGGGAGTTGGAATGCCGAACGCATGCTCGCCAGGAACCGCGCAGCGGGTGGCTGCAGTAGAAGGCGGCTTCGTGGTCCAGATTGCTCATATCGTATTTTAACATCGACGACAGTATGGAAGTTGCTTGAGGCAGTGCATTAGCGGATCTTCAGGCACCCTAAATCGGGCGGAATGAACCCCTCTGTGCAAACAACAAAAGTGAAGAAAGGCTGCGATCCTGGTGGAAGAGCACTCCGAATCCGTATGGGAATATTGACTGCTACAATCCGACGCGAACCTTCGGTTGACCGCAGCCTAAGAGAGCGAAATACTGGTCAAGGCTGACAGGCACTTGCCGAGGCAGGTTTGCTTCACTGCAAATGTCTCATTGTGTAACTTTGCGAATCAAGTAGGAGCACACCTCGCGAAATATCTAACAGCTTGCCAGAACTATCAAATGACATTTTGCATCCCGAGGGCGTGGCTCTTCCTCATTGATTGGCGAGCATTAGCCATGGGAAGTCGAGAAAAATTGGTGATGAGTTGTCTGATAGATTTGCAGGTACGAAGACAACGGCATAAAGTATCGGGAATACAGGGCATTGGGAGACTTTCAGGCTCTCCAGCGTACAGATCAAGGTAACAAACTCGCTACAAGGCCCTATATTTCCAGGCCCTTCCCCTAAAAGCACATTTACGCCTTCGACAAGGGCTACCACACCTTTTCAGGGCTTCTTCCCTGTACTTACAAGGGAGCCTTCGCTAAAGGGGCCTATAATAGTTGCTTATTTAGCGTCCAAGCGCTGTGGTTGCTCTACTAACAGCGCTATAACCCTAGAAGATCTACTTACCCCATGCGAATGTCTTATAGCGCCTCTTTACATAGATTTAGGGAGCACTACCTAGAGTTATAGGGGCTTGTAGCGAGCTTCTGCTCTAAATTCACACCCTGTAGAGCGCTGAGGGTCAAAATGCCCTGTATTCCCAATACTTTATGCCGTTGTCTTCGTACTGCTTTTTTACACATTCTATTCGGGCTCCTCAAGCATTGGCTCAATTTAAAGTAGAGAATTGACAGATATATATTTGGGATTGGATAGAGGTAGAAGATACTAAGGGATCTTTGAGTTTTGAACGTGGAGTATGATGAGTTTTATCTGTAAGAGAGTGTTGAGAGATATTTTGATGGTGAGATCCTGGCATCTTAATAACTATAACGCTGGCCAAAGTCACAAACTCAGAAGCAGGCGACTTCAGCCACAAAAGGATGCCAAGACTTGATGGGTGGCATTCATTCCGAAAATAAACGCTGCCAGGACGCAGCGTTTTTTTCTGCCGGTGCACGTGACCAGCATGTGCCACACGCGAATAGCTATATTCCTCACTGGCATAGGCCATTCGGGAATGGCTATATATTCCCCACCGGCATAGCTTATTTGAAGAATGGCCATATTCCCCACTGGCATAGGCCATTTGGGAATGGCTATATTCCTCACTGGCATAGGCCATTTGGGAATGGCTATATTCCCTACTAGCATAGGCCATTTGGGAATGGCCATATATTCCCCACTGGGAGATGCCATACGCGAATAGCCATATTCTTTACTAGGTAAAAGAATATATTTAGAAAGGCTATATAAAGATTACTAGTAACGGAAGTAAGGAAGCTACTTGATAAGTAATTAATTAGTAAGTAATTAATTAAGTATACGGGATTCTTATTAGTTAGCCCTTTCCTACTACCCAAATTTTCTGAACGAGGGGTAATTTTCTTGAAAACGCTGCCGCAAGCGGCAGCGTTTATTTTACCTCGCGAATATTGAAAGTTCGATCTTCACAGGGCAAAAAAAACGCTGCCGCCAGCGGCAGCGTTTTCAATAGCGGGGTAAGTCGTAGTTTATTATTATTATTTAAGATAACTCGCCCGCAATAAGGTATTTCCTTAAACAGAGAACGAGGAGCTGCTATTAGTATATTATACTATAACTCTACTAATTTTTTCTACAAGAAAAATACTTGCTGTTATTGTAATAATTAATTAAAGGGGTCCTTGCGATCGGGCGCACGCTTCACTCGGGCGGTGAGGGATGTACGCGCTAGCCGCATCTGGGGCGCAGGTGCGGCAGCGTTTTTTTTGTGGTGATAATCTTACAGTCATACGGAAAACTGCAGCCCATCGTCTTAGCGAGCGGATGAGGATCAGAGAACCCAAATGCTGTGCTACGGAAATTGAGGCTAAGAAGCCAAACCACACTCTGTTCCAGTTTTTCGAAGTATTGTCTATCTAATGGATTAAATGTACATTGCCCTAATGCTACCAGTTAGGTCAAAATGCAATAGTACGAACACAACAGTCGACGGAAATGCGTTTTGAACAGGCATCAGCGACCCGCAGTCACCGGAATTGCATGGTGCCGGGTAACACGAACTACCGCCAGGTTATTTGCTGGAAATACCCAACCTCCCGAGGAGGAAGGAAGGCTGAGATGTGATTTGGGTCACCGGTCAGAATTAGACGGTAACAGTGTGTCAAATGAATAGAATAGAATAGACTAGTGGCCACTGCTTTATTCTATTCATCAAAATTTACTCACTACTCATATTCTATTCATATTCTAATCAAGGTATTCATAAATATTCATGAATACTTTGAGTAGTATATATGTGATTATATATATAATTTGCATGTAAGGAGCTAGCTATATTAGATAAAGCTTCCGCTCACTCCCGCTCTAGCGCTACCTCACTACTCAATTAGGCAATAGCAAGAACTAGTAAGTAAACCAAAGCACTAGATTCCGAGAAGAATAATTAGTTTATTATTATAGAAAATTAGTACTTAGTTAGTATTATATAAGTCTTAGCTTAGTTTAACTAGAGCTACTAATAGGCGCCTTAGTTATTTAATAATTATTAAGTAAACCTTGATTTTCTATAGTTATATAACATTACGTAGTTAGTAATTACTAGGATTTATGAATATTTATAATATATATTCTACTCTACTTTTTTTTTTGAGAATTGCGCTACTGATATTGTATTCAAGATATTCATGAATATTCATGAATACCTTGAATACCTTGAATATTTTTTTTGACACACTGGACAGTCATAAAGCTCTCATTGCAAGAGGCGAGCGCGGCTGGGACTACTACAAACTAACTGAGTGTGCACGCTGAAACCTGTAAAAACATTCTAGTGTTCTCCATTTGAAACTCCTTGCCATACGCTGACTGTGGTAGTAAAGATGATAGAGCGGCTTTTGGACCTAAGACTGAGTTCGACATTTGATTTTCCAACCAATGGACGTCAATGGACGAGATGCAACCTTCAGATCTTTGGGCAAGTCCAGCAGGACCTTGGTTTATATCAAGACAGGGTAGTGGTAACTTAATGGATAGAGTGATAACGGTAATGATCTGGAGTCCTAAAAAAACACTTTAAAATTCGGAAACTCCTGCCTGAGACCTCTCAATCTTGCAACCCTATGTGTCATGATTTCGCGGCACAATCTTCCCCGACGGCTCGGGCAACTATGAATTGGGGATCCAAATTCAACAAAGTGCAGATGCGGGCGTTCGATAGTCTCTGCCTTATCTCCAATAATCGTTCGGCGTTTCCCACCTAGTCTCGCTGAGTGACACTCGCCGAACGATTACTGGCAATCCGGAATGAACGTCTTTTCAAGTTGCGAAGCAACCTTAATCGTTACTCCCTAAGCCAATGGGAACTTGCAGTAAGGATACGGCTTCCGCGCAGCCTCACTCGGCTTCGGAATCGGTTTCAGTAAAATTATGCAATTGATCTCAGACGCAATGGCTATCAGTTGGCTTTTCTTTGCTCGTTTGGCCCTACCATAGACTAGTGGTAGTTGCCTTGTGGTGTCAGTTGATGCTCA